TTCTGGAAGTTTCTCCCATCTCCACAGAGGAACTCTAGAGCTCTGTCAGAGTGACCATCGGGTTCTTGGTCACCTCCCTGACCAAGGCCATTATCCCCCGATTGCTCAGTTTTGGCTGGGCGTTCAGCTCTAGGAAGAGTCTTGGTGGTTCCAAACTTCTTCCATTTAAGAATGATGGAGGTCAATGTGTTCTTGGGCATCTTCAATGCTGCATAACATTTTTGTTACCCTTCCACAGATCTGTGCCTCGACACAATCCTGTCTCGGCGCTCTACGGACAATTCCTTCGACCTCATGGCTTGGTTTTTGCTCTGACATACACTGTCAACTGTGGGACCTTATATAGACAGGTGTGTGCCTTTCCAATCATGTCCAATCAATTATATTTACCACAGGTGGACTCCAATCAAGTGGTAGAAACATCTCAAGGATGATCAATGGAAACAGGATGCACCTGAGCTCAATTTCGAGTCTCATAGCAAAGGGTCTGAATACTTATGTAAATAAGGTATTTCTTTTTAATACATTTGCAAACATTTCTAAAAACCTGTTTTCGCTTTGTCATTATGGGGTATTGTGTGTAGATTGCTGAGGATTTGTATTTATTTAATACATTTTAGAATAAGGCTGTAACGTAACAAAATGTGAAAAAAGTAAAGGGGTCTGAATACTTTCCGACTGCACTGTACATTATACATTATTGATACATATCACATACATGGTACTTCTATACACAGTATTACATGAAATAAAATATAGTTTGATTTACACATTACACATCTGGCTGCTTGGTATACTGAAAATGTTCCATCTTCCTCTAAAGGACAGACCAACATGTATGTTGGCGGTGCACAGCGGGTGGCCTTCCTATCTCCTCTGACCACAGACCATCGACCATCTTTATCGGTTCTTTTCCCGACGATTCTACATGTTCAATCGCCACCATTGTCTACAGCAGGTTCAGTAATCCTCATACGATTGCACTTCACTTGTCTCTGGTTTCAGTTACGTCACTGGCTTCAGTCCCTATACTAGTTTCAGTCAGTCCACTGATTTCAGTTACGTCACTGGCTTCAGTCCCTATACTAGTTTCAGTCAGTCCACTGATTTCAGTTACGTCACTGGCTTCAGTCCCTATACTAGTTTCAGTCAGTCCACTGATTTCAGTTACGTCACTGGCTTCAGTCTCTATACTGGTCCATGTGCACACTGTGGTTTCTGTATTTGCTGGGCTCTCTAGGTTTATTCCAGGTCCTTCACTTGATGCAGACTCTATACTGGCTTCAGTCTCTATTGTAGCACAGGTTCCAATGCTAAGTGCAGACTCTGCGCTGGTTACAGTCTCTGTACTAGTCGCAGTTCTGGAGATCATTGCGGTCCCTGTCCCAGAGCAGTCTGTGATGCCACTGTGACCCCTGCTGGTCTGGAACACTGTTGTCCAGCGGGGGAGGAAGCGGGGAAGCTGCTTCCGGAGTTCCCGGCTGCGTAGGCCGTACACCACGGGGCTGAGCCCTTGCCCCACTAAGAACACCACGTAGTTGGTCACTGTGGCGGCCATATTGTGCTTCAACCTGGCGATGATGGGCACCAGAGGGAGAAGGTACAGGATCATCTGCAGCATGTGGATCAGGATGGTGCGGCGCCCGTAGCTGTTGGAGCGTGAGAAATGCCCCGCCCGGCAGCCCTCCATGTAGATGAGCACATAGCTGGTCATGATGAGCAGTAGCAGGAACGCCACCAGCGCCAGGCTGCTGAACCGAGACGCTGGACTCTCCAGCGTGGTGGAGCACACGGGGTCCAGCTCCACCACATAGGCCCAAGAGGACTGGGCGCAAGCCAGGACAGTGAACAGAACCGGGTTGAGCAGGGCCACGAACCAAGCCAGAGCTATGACGGAAGCCCGAATGCGACGCACCAGCTTCGGGTAGTGGAGCGGCCGCAGAATGGAAAGGCAGGTGTTGATGGCCATGAGGGTGAGGGTGATGCCCATGCCACGGCCCAGAGCCACCTGGAAGTCAAAGAGGAGCCAACAGGTCAGGCGGCTGATGGGCAGGCGGAGGGCGCGGAGGCCGTGCAGGACGGTGCCCACGGCGTTGAAGCTGGTCACACAGGCACAGTGATGGCACAGCAGGATGAAGCGGACGTTGCGGCGCAGCTCGGCCGTGTGGCACACTGTCACCACAATGAGGTAGGTCAAGAAGAAGGTGGTCAGGAAGATGGCCCCGTGGATACATACTTTCACTGTGTCCAGCAGCCATATGTCATCCCCAGATATAGTAGCATTTAAAAGGCCTGAGTAGAGGAAAGACACGACTACAGTAAAGCAACAGATAACGGGAATAGGAAATAACATGTGAAGTTAAACCACATAAAGGCAAGGGTGAGATTATTTAGATACTTCGATAAACCACATTATTTATTATTATTATTTATTACATATAACGTCAACGACAAAACATTGACTGTAAACCCAAGATCGAGCACTCATAGGTTGAGACAAAAAAAAAGATTAAAAAAAAAACAGCAGAAAAAAATTCTCTCTATGTCCTTACCCATATTCTGTTCCACTGCCACATCATAGTTGGAGTCATTGGACATCGCTTCTGCTGATTCTGGCAGGTCGCAGGGGTGAAAACTAAATTCGGAATTTGCCAAACCAAGAATTCACAAAACCAAGTTAATGGTGCCAACAGCTATGGGTGTCTATCTGCTGTGGTAGGTAGCCCTTTGCTTCGGGTAACGGTTGCCTTCTCCATCCTTCTCCCACTCTTTCCTTGTATTTTCTGTCACGTGTCACCCCCGCCATGCATTTAGTTATATATTCTTTATCGACTGCCTCCTAATCCGTGGGTTTAGTGGAATAGATTGTTCTGAGAGTCAACACCTGCCTCTCAGCATAGCAAAATTCTATATTTAACAGTAAGTCGTGCAAGTTCTTGTGCTCCTAGGTGTGTGTGTGTGCTGTGCTGAGTGTGTGTGTGTGTGTGTGTGTGGACATCCGACCTGCATCAGGAGGGTTTGCCGCTACTGAATATGAATAACACTCTCCCTATTATGAACGACTTTTTTTTACATGTTCATGATGAATACAAATATAAGGATGTTAAAATGATTGGACCCCTTGGTCGTTAAGTTATTTAGCCGAGATAAGGATTTAAGATATAATATAGGTTTAAGTCATGAGCATGTTTAAAATATTGTTATATTTTAAACATTGTAAACATACATAATATACACTACCAGTCAAAAGTTTGGACACACCTACTCATTCAAGGGTTTTTCTTTATTTTTAATATTTTTTACATTGTAGAATAATAGTGAAAACATCAAAACTATGAAATAACACATATGGAATCATGTAGTAACCAAAAAAGTGTTAAACAAATCAAAATATATTTTATATTTGAGAATCTTCAAATAGCCACCCTTTGCCTTGATGACAGCTTTGCACACTCTTGGCATTCTCTCAACCAGCTTCATGAGATAGTCACCTGGAATGCATTTCAATTAACAGGTGTGCCTTCTTAAAAGTTAATTTGTGGAATTTCTTTCCTTCTTAATGTGTTTGAGCCAATCAGTTGTGTTGTGACAGGGTAGGGGTGGTATACAGAAGATAGCCCTATTTGGTAAAAGACCAAGTCCATATTATGTCAACAACAGCTCAAATAAGCAAAGAGAAACAACAGTCCATAATTACTTTAAGACATGAAGGTCAGTCAATACGGAAAATGTCAAGAACTTTGAAAGTTTCTTCAAGTGCAGTCGCAAACTCCATCAAGCGCTATGATGAAACTGGCTCTCATGAGGACCGCCACAGGAATGGAAGACCCAGAGTTACCTCTGCTGCAGAGGATAAGTTCATTCGAGTTACCAGCCTTAGAAATTGCAGCCCAAATAAATGCTTCACAGAGTTCAAGTCACAGACACATCTCAACAACTGTTCAGAGGGGACTGTATGAATCAGGCCTTCATGGTCGAATTGCTGCAAAGAAACCACTACTAAAGGACACCAATAAGAAGAAGAGACCTGCTTGGGCCAAGAAACACGAGCAATGGACATTAGACTGGTGAAAACTTCTCCTTTGGTCTGGAGTCCAAATTTGAGATTTTTGGTTCCAACCGCTGTGTCGTTGTGAGACGTGGTGTGGGTGAACGGATGATCTCCGCATGTGTAGTTCCCACCGTAAAGCATGGAGGAGGAGGTGTTATGGTGTGGGGGTGCTTTGCTGGTGACACTGTCTGTGATTTATTTAGAATTCAAGGCACACTTAACCAGCATGGCTACCACAGCATTCTGCAGTGATACACCATCCCATCTGGTTTGGGCTTAGTGGGACTATCATTATATGTTGATTTGTTTAACACTTTTTTGGTTACTACATGATTCCATATGTGTTATTTCATAGTTTCGATGTCTTCGCTATTATTCTACAATGTAGAAAATAGTAAATATAAAGAAAAACCCTTGAATGAGTAGGTGTGTCCAAACCTTTGACTGGTAGAGTATATTTACAAAACAAAATAAATTAGGAATAAAATTATGAGGACACAGCTGACAGGTTTGTATCCTTTTACATTCAGCAAACGTGCCCTCCCTGAATCATTCCACCGAATGGTATTGTCCTTCTCGTGCAATCATGTATAAGGCATAAGATTATGGCACACTTACAACACAGTAACAGCAGGTACAAATGCATATTAACATCTCCAACCATTGCCACAACATCCCTTGCTGCCAGGCAACTGTCTATGACACCAACTGTCTTCCAACACAACACAGCCACTGTACTGATTGAAAGACAAGCACAAACAAACACTGCTTTGCTGCTTTGCTGGGTAACAGCATAAAAGTACCATTCTGCTTTTCTAGCATAACTAATTCATCATATTTGTGTCAAAAACTACTTGTACAGTCTCCACCCAAGACCAATCCCATCCTATATTCCTCTTTGCATGGAAACCTCAAGGATCCTATTTAGAGTGTAAAGATAAAACAAAAATCATTTCAGTGAGCTCCCTGAATCAGAGCTCCAGTCTCCTCTTCCATACCCTGAATCACCCTGTGCCACACCATGAACATGACCCACAGTCACCCCACAGCGCTGCATGTCTGTACCGAGCTGCTCCGGCCCAGGGTCCAACTCAGAACCTGGCTCTATATCTGCAACATGGCTCTCTGGGTCCTCACTGCGCTCCACCATGGTGTCTACATCGTAGCTCTCTGTGTCTTTACGGAGTAGCTTCTGGCTCTTCTTCCTCCTGCGGCTGATCTGTTTCTGCAGCTGCAGCTTGCTGGTGAAGAAGACGCTCCTCCAGCCCAGCTCCAGGGCCAGGGACTCCACCTCGGCCGACACGGAGCCGCAGTGGCCGCGCACCGCCTGCTCCCAGAACTCCTCCGAACGACACAGCTGACAGACGCACAGGGAACAGTGGTTAGGGACCTAGACCAGAGGTTGCGATCAATCATTCAGTCAGTTAACTCAACCAGGGGTTTAAACCACACACAAAAACAACAATGGACAGATTCACATATAGAAAAGAAATCAACAGAATATGGAAATAAACACGTAATTACACTCAGATATACCCATGTAAAGTTACAATAGGATTCACATACTGTCTACATCATAGGCAGTACACTGTCTACATCATAGGCAGTACGCTGTCTACATCATAGGCAGTACGCTGTCTACATCATAGGCAGTACACTGTCTACATCATAGGCAGTACGCTGTCTACATCATAGGCAGTACGCTGTCTACATCATAGGCAGTACACTGTCTACATCATAGGCAGTACGCTGTCTACATCATAGGCAGTACGCTGTCTACATCATAGGCAGTACGCTGTCTACATCATAGGCAGTACGCTGTCTACATCATAGGCAGTCCACTGTCTACATCATAGGCAGTCCACTGTCTACATCATAGGCAGTACACTGTCTACATCATAGGCAGTCCGCTGTCTACATCATAGGCAGTACGCTGTCTACATCATAGGCAGTACACTGTCTACATCATAGGCAGTACACTGTCTACATCATAGGCAGTACACTGTCTACATCATAGGCAGTACGCTGTCTACATCATAGGCAGTACACTGTCTACATCATAGGCAGTACACTGTCTACATCATAGGCAGTCCGCTGTCTACATCATAGGCAGTACACTGTCTACATCATAGGCAGTACGCTGTCTACATCATAGGCAGTCCACTGTCTGTTTTCACTCCAACCCCAGGTGTTACTGACCTGATTCATCTTATCAACCTGCTAATTATTAGAATCAGGTGTGCTAGATTAGGGTTGGAGTGAAAACCTACAGGAGGGTAGCTCTCCAGGAACAGGGTTGGGCAACCCTGATGTAGACAGTGTACTGCCTATGATGTACACAGTGTACTGCATATGAGGCGGCAGGTAGCTTAGTGGTTAAGAGCGTTGTGGCAGTAACCGAAAGGTCGCTGGTTCTAATCCCCGAGCCGACTAGGTGAAAAATCTGTCTGTGCCCTTGAGCAAGGCACTTAACCCTAATTGCTCATGTAAGTCGCTCTGGATAAGAGCATCTGCTAAATTACTCAAATAAAAATGTAGACAGTGTACTGCCTATGATGTAGACAGCGTACTGCCTATGATGTAGACAGCGTACTGCCTATGATGTAGACAGTGTACTGCCTATGATGTAGACAGCGTACTGCCTATGATGTAGACAGCGTACTGCCTATGATGTAGACAGTGTACTGCCTATGATGTAGACAGTGTACTGCCTATGATGTAGACAGCGGACTGCCTATGATGTAGACAGCGTACTGCCTATGATGTAGACAGCGGACTGCCTATGATGTAGACAGTGGACTGCCTATGATGTAGACAGTGGACTGCCTATGATGTAGACAGTGGACTGCCTATGATGTAGACAGTGGACTGCCTATGATGTAGACAGTGGACTGCCTATGATGTAGACAGTGGACTGCCTATGATGTAGACAGTGTACTGCCTATGATGTAGACAGTGTACTGCCTATGATGTAGACAGTGGACTGCCTATGATGTAGACAGTGGACTGCCTATGATGTAGACAGCGTACTGCCTATGATGTAGACAGCGTACTGCCTATGATGTAGACAGCGTACTGCCTATGATGTAGACAGCGTACTGCCTATGATGTAGACAGCGTACTGCCTATGATGTATGACAGCGTACACTGTGTACATGCATGCACCGAGTCTCACACAGACAGAGTGGGTCCATTCACCTTCCTGAACCTGTGTGAGGTGTGTCCAAGCCGTGCCACGTCCTCCAGTTCCAGATGGGTCAGGATGTGGAGCAGCAGGGGGTCGGGCAGACGCTCCAGGTAGTCATAGTGACCCTGACATAGTGCCTGGCTGTACTGAAGGATCCGTGGGCCAAACACCACACTCAGCTGACCTGGGAAACCATCACACCAGTGGAGGCTTATAATAATGTCTGGAATGGAGTCAATGGAGTGGTATCAACCATATGGAAACCACGTCGTTGATGTGTTTGATGCCATTCCATTGACTCCATTCCGGCCATTATTATGAGCCGTCCTCCCCTCAGCATGCCCACCAATGGGGCCATTGCTTACCTTTTTTTGTGCTGTGAACAACCTAGCCAAAGTCCGGTACAAGGGCTTTGTAGACCATTAGACCATGGGAGAATCTCAATTGCATTTCCTTGACTCCTCGCGTCCCCTCTCCTTCTCAAACCCCATTGGATGAGAAAGTCAGAGGTCCCTCCCCTCTGACCTTCTCCAATGGGTTTTGAGATTCTCCCCATCTCTCTGACCTAGCAACTAGGCGATTTCAAAAGTATTTATAGTAAAAGACGTCAACAAAAAATCTGCACCCGCGAATGAACACAATCTCCAGACCAAGGGTCTCTAATCCTGTTCCTGGAGAGCTACCCTCGTAGGTTTTCACTCCAACCCCAGTTGTATCTAACCTGGTTCATCTTATCAACCAGCTAATTATTAGAATCAGGTGTGCTAGATTAGGGTTGGAGTAAAAACCTACAGGACGGTAGCTCTCCAGGAACAAGGTTGGAGTAAAAACCTACAGGAGGGTAGCTGTCCAGGAACAGGGTTGGAGTGAAAACCTACAGGACGGTAGCTCTCCAGGAACAGGCTTGGAGTGAAAACCTACAGGACGGTAGCTCTCCAGGAACAGGCTTGGAGTAAAAACCTACAGGACGGTAGCTCTCCAGGAACAGGCTTGGAGAACCCTGCTCTAGACCATTGCCTCTACGACCCCTGCCCTCCTGGAAACTGCCCTTCTGACACACCTGTGAACCTAAATCATGTGGGCACTGCACGACTTAGCCAACTGGAATAGTATCATTTAATTAGGGGTTGATTGGGTTACAATCAATGCAGTCATTTTTAGCATGGTAATTCACTTCACTCGAGGGCATAGGGTTATTTTTGGCATCTAGGCTATTATCTATCTAGCTATTAGTGAGCAGGTGGGTTGTGGAATCGCCTACACAGGGAACCTTACTCTGAAGCCGGCTGTCATCCAAGAAGTCCTTGTGAGACTCCCTCAGTTCTCCTGGCTTTGTGTTCCTACCATCACTTCTCAAAGAAATCTTCCACCATCTCCAAATAACCTGGAAAATATGGGCCTATGAGTATTGCAGAGCATGTGGTTTTACTGTACTTAGTCAGCAAAGCAATTTAGCTAGCTAAATTGTTCTGTTTGTTACTAGTGCTGACTATTTACTTTGCTAACTATTTGTTGCCAGCTTGCTGGCACAGCCTTATTTGTTAGTTAACAATATAATATAGTAGTAGCTTGCTATGTCTCTAACGTTAACGTTACTGACAGCTAACGTTATTCTAGCTAGCTAAAATTGAAAGATTAGCGTTAGAGAATGAAAGGGCAAGGCAGTAAATGGCTTGCTTAGAAATGTCTAAGAAAAATGTACCAAATATTTTACATTTTAGAGAGGACATAAGACGAAAAAACGTACCTCTGTCTTGGTGACAGAAAACTGGAAAAAGTCTTTATTGGGTGCAGGACCTTGACCACTGACTTCAAATAAACTTTTCCCCAGCAAAGTCGCCATTTTGGACGCTTGGTTTGAGTTGCCACGGCAACGAAAGGACTCGTTATGGTTTTTCCAGTATGCTGGAATGTAACAAAATCCCTCCTGCTGCAACATGCTACAATGTAACAAATGTAAAATTGCAACTTCCTCTTGGGTTTGAAGTCACTTTTGCAGCTGTGTATAAATGAATAGCTATGTTTTCCTGGTACTTGAGTCAAGTTCTATGAAAACATTTCCTCATAAAGGGGCTACTTTTGCAGCTGTGTATAAATGAATAGCTATGTTTTCCTGGTACTTGAGTCAAGTTCTATGAAAACATTTCATCGTGAGCTCCTGAGTGGCGCAGTGGTCTAAGGCACTGCATCGCAGTGCTAACTGTGCCACTAGAGATCCTGGTTCGAATCCAGGCTCTGTCGCAGCCGGCCGCGACCGGGAGACTCATGGGCGGCGCACAATTGGCCCAGCGTCGTCCAGGGTAGGAGAGGGAATGGCCGGCAGGGATATAGTTGATAGAGCATGGCGTTTGCCATGCCAGGGTTGTGGGTTCGTTTCCCATGGGGGGCCAGTATTTAAAAAAAAATTATTCACTAACTGTAAGTCGCTCTGGATAAGAGCGTCTGCTAAATGACTAAAATGTAAAATAAAGACCTATAGTGAACAAAAATATAAATGCAACATTTTCTAAGATTTTAATGAGTTATAAATCAGTCAATTGAAATACATTTATTAGGCCCGAATCTATGGATTTCACATGACTGGGAATATAGACAAAAAAAGGTGGATCAGAAAACCAGTCAGTATCTGGTGTGACCACCATAGAGTTGATCAGGTTGTTGATTGTGGCCTGTGGAATGTTGTCCCACTCTTCAATGGCTGTGTGAAGTTGTTGAATATTGGCGGGAACCTGAACACGCGGTCATACACGTTAATCCAGAACATCCCAAACATGCTCAATGGGTGACATGTCTGGTGAGTATGCAGACCATGGAAGAACTGGGACATTTTCAGCTTCCAGGAATTGCGTACAGATCCTTGCGACATGGGGCCGTGAATTATCATACCGAAACATGAGGTGATGGCGGCGGATGAAAGGCACGATAATGGGCCTCAGGATCTCGTCACGGTATGTCTGTGCATTCAAATTGCTATTGATAAAATGCAATTGTGTTCGTTGTCCGTAGCTTATGCCTACCCATCCCATAACCCCACCATGGGGCACTCTGTTCACAATGTTGACATTAGCAAACCGCTCGCCCACACGACACCATACACGTGGTCTGTGGTTCTGAGGCCAGTTGTACGTACTGCCAAATTCTCTAAAATGACATTTGAGGCGGCTTATGGTAGAGACAGGAACCTTCAATTCTCTGGCAACAGCTCTGGTGGACATTCCTGCAGTCAGCATGCCAATTGCACACTTAAAACTTGAGACATCTGTGGCCTTTTACTTTCCCCAGCACAAGGTGCACCTGTGTAATGATCATGCTGTTTAATCAGCGTCTTGACATGTCACACCTGTCAGGTGGATGGATTATCTTGGCAAAGGAGAAATGCTCACTAACATGGATGTAAACAAATTTGTATACAACATTTTAAGAGAAATAAGCGTTTTGTGCGTATGGAACATTTCTGGGATCTTATATTTTAGCTCATGAAACATGGGAGCAACAATTTACATGTTGGGATTAATATATTTTTGTTCAGTGTAGATTTGAACCTCAAATAGGGAATTCTAAATGAAAAAATGAGAATCAAGAGCAAACTGTAGTTAAAAATCTTTAATATATTTATACATATATTTATATATGTACACATTGACTAACATATTACTGTAATGGCAAGTAACACGATTACATTAATTAAAAGTGATGGGGGGCACAATTTAACCATCCCTCCAAATAAAAATCAAACTTCTCAGGTGTTTTTACAAATCTGCGCAGGGCCGTAGCTACATATGAGGACACCAAGGTCCGGACACTGGGGAACTACATTCCGGACCTCGGTAATTTTTCTAATAAAAATAAAATGTAACAATAACAAAATTAATTAGGAACTGAGTCGAGGTCTCCACTTACTGTTGAGAGTTAGAATAGTAAAATACACAAGGTGCAATTTAAAAAAACTTGGTTGAGCATCAGTATGAAAAATGTATGCACTGGATAAGAGCGTCTGCTAAATGATAAAAAAATAAATAATAATCTGCAGTTTTCCGCTTGTTATATGTCACTCACTGCCCATGTCAGTTAATATTTTTTAGATGGGTAAATGGGTCTAGTTAGTCTAGCCAGCTATCTAAACTTGTAGTAATCATGGCCGAATTACCAACCGGGCACGCAGGTCACGTGTCTTATTAACATGGCATAAGTCATGGCTAAATGTGTAGAATTGCAGGGAATTAGCTTTTAAAATGGCCAAGAATGTATTCCCACCCTATTGGCAAAGTGTGTAGAATGGCAGGATATTAGCTGTAAAACTGAAACAACAAAAAAAGTTATGTAAAGCAAACCTTTACTTCCTGAACATTTCTTTGATGGGGTAAAATCTTGGATTTGTTTGGGGGGGGGAGAGACCCCACTTTAACTCAGAACCTGGCTACGGCCCTGCACCTGCGGGTCGGGTTACATGGGGAGGGCTCCTTAGAGCATTAGAACCTTAATGGGAAAAAAAATACAGAAAGGTCATTATTGAGTGGATATTCCCTTTAATCTCTATTCTGCAGGAGACACCTGCCTGTCATACAAACTGCTGCTGCTGGAGTCTGGGGTCTTGTGTTTTTACAGCAGGTATTAGCTGTTCCTTTTCAAACAGCCTCTTACCTATCCAACGTTCGTGTGTTTGGGCTGTTGTTACACTTGGGACTTCCTCCTAGCAACAAGTAAAAAAACAACAACAAAAAAAAAGTTGTATTCAAGATTATTCTACTGTTTTGTAAACCGTTAAGCAACACAGGGAGGACTCCTTAAGAGCATTGGAACCTTAAAGGGAAACTCCACTCAAAAAACGATATTTGGGTATTTTTTGGGATAGCACTATGGTGTTTTGAGCTCAATAAGAACAGGGCAAATGTTCCGTAGACAAATGTTGTAGATAGAAATTGAATGAAAAAAGAGTCAATATGATTCCCTTCAAAAGACACATTTTTGTTCTACACAACATATTTCTATCGAAATGTTCCACAACGTTGTGCCCTGCTGAACGGACTCCAGGTTGCACCCCAAGTAATAGCAGTATTAATCATGCACCAAATAAAAGTCCCTTTCCTGGACACCATAACTGCAGGCAGAGGCGTCACGCCCATTGAAACCGCTACACAATACATTGTTTCTTTTACACAGAATTCATTAAATGATACTAAACATGACCATCGGTGCCCCCTCAAATGCAATTAGGTGAATAACGCCTCTGCCAGCCTGATTCTTCACCAACATCTAATCATCGTCCTCGATGCGAAAATCTTCACGTCACCTCAGTTCACTCCAAGACTTGTTGTATACAAACAACCCTGTTAGTTATCATATAAACCCACTGGTAGAAACATTGTAGTGGCACCTCCACAATGTTGCCCGCCCACGTCAAGTCCTAATTATACATAACATGTATTTTAAACGTGATTACAAATGCCGATATGCACAATAAAAGAGCTTATTGCCAAACATAATAAACTACAAAATATTATGTATAAAGAACTTATAAGTCCAAAGGCATCGTTCCAGGGCAGTCCCAGATCCCATAGTCCTTCATAGTGTCATAAACATAGTTAAGAAAATCTTGAATTCAGAGTTTCAGAAATGTACTGTCACATCACAGGGTGTGACTGAGCCGGTCATTGAATAGGTGCTGCATGCTGCCCTCTCGTGGTGACGACGGGGAGGGAGGGAGGGAGGCGCGCTAAAGGAAGGGGTTGGTGGTGGAGCTTCCAGAGGGGTAGGATCCTGCCGGGGCGCCCGCCTGGTTGGAGACAAAAGGGTTAATCAATATTAGCTGAGAGAGAGGGCGCATGGGGCGACCGTCCACATAGGCGTTTTTACATTGGACCCATGCAGAAGTTGAATGTGTAAGTAAACTGCATGTGTTCAGACAAAGTCAGGGACAAAGTGTTTCATACTTGTATTACAAGTTTTACAATTAAAGACCACAATACGTCCTTCGGTCCTTCGACATGATCTGGAAACATACACGCTATTAAATGCTCACCATAAATGGGTTATTGGTCATCCCCGGCCCAGCCACGGGCTGCCCAAAGGGGGTCACGGAGGCCTTGCTCTGTCCGTAGACTGGGTATCCACCAAGGCCTGTCAACGCAGAGAGAAAAAACAAACAGATTAGGCTTAATGGTCTCTTTACCAATTAGGTTCCCAAATAGTGGGCGACGGCTATTTAGTTACAGAGTGGATACTAGCCAGTAACATGATCTTTGTTTATAGTGGAGGGTCACAAGAAAAGTCACAGCACAAACATAGTTTTGGAAATCACAGCTTCAATGTTAAGGCCAAACTATATTGTGATTGAGAACACTAAAAGGAGGACCGGGTACACTACTTACCATTGGGTTGCTGGGGGTGGTAGGCCCCTGGCTGGGGGTAAGGGAAGGGGGCTTGGCCAGGGAAGGGCTGCTGGAAGGTCCCACTGAAACTGGTCGGGAGGCAGTAGGAGGAGGGCTTCCCAAAGCCAGCAGGCAAACTCATAGAACCTGTGGCAAAGGAGGCTAGGACACACAGAGAGGGGAGGGGAGTGACATGAACACAGTGGACACACAGAGAGAGGGGAGGGGAGTAACATGAACACACAGAGAGAGGGGAGGGGAGTAACATAAACACACAGAGAGAGGGGAGGGGAGTAACATGAACAACAGAGGAGGGGAGGGGAGTAAATAAAACACACAGAGAGAGGGGAGGGAGAGTAACATGAACACACAGAGAGAGGGGAGGGGAGTAACATGAACACACAGAGAGAGGGGAGGGGAGTAACATGAACACACAGAGAGAGGGGAGGGGAGTAACATGAACACACAGAGAGAGGGGAGGGGGAGTAACATGAACACACAGAGAGAGGGGAGGGGAGAGTAACATGAACACACAGAGAGAGGGGAGGGGAGTAACATGAACACACAGAGAGAGGGGAGGGGGAGTAACATGAACACACAAGAGAGAGGGGAGGGGAGTAACATGAACACACAGAGAGAGGAGGGAGGGGAGTAACATAAACAGGCACAGAGAGAGGAGAGGGGGGAGAATAACACATGAACACACAGAGAGAGGGAGGGGAGTAACATAACACAGAGAGGAGGAGGGGAGTAACATGAACACACCAGAGAGAGGGGGAGGGGAGTAACATGAACACACAGAGAGAGGGGAGAGGAGAGAGTAACATGAAGTACACACAGAGAGAGGGGAGGGGAGTAACATGAACACACAGAGAGAGGGGAGGGGAGTAACATAACACACAGGACAAAGAGAGGGAGGGGAGTAACATAAACACACAGAGAGAGGGGAGGGGAGAGTAACATAAACACAGTGGACACACAGAGAGAGAGGGGAGGAGGGGAGTAACATGAACACACAGAGAGAGGGGAGGGGGAAGAAGTAACAAGAACACATGGACAACAGAGAGAGGGAGGGGAGTAACATGAACACACAGAGAGAGGGGAGGGGAGTAACATAAACACAGTGGACACACAGAGAGAGGGGAGGGGAGTAACATGAACACACAGAGAGAGGGGAGGGGAGTAACATAAACACAGTGGACACACAGAGAGAGGAGGAGGGGAGTAACATGAACACACAGAGAGAGGGGAGGGGAGTACATAAACACAGTGGACACACAGAGAGAGGGGAGGGGAGTAACATGAACACACAGAGAGAGGGGAGGGGAGTAACATAAACACAGTGGACACACAGAGAGAGGAGAGGGGAGAAGTAAACATGAACACACAGAGAGAGGGAGGGGAGTATAACATAACACAGTGCACACAGAGGAGGGAGGGGAAGTAGGACAACACATGAACACAAGAGTAGCGAGGGTACAGTAACATACAACACAGTGCACACAAGAATGCAGGGGTATAAAACATGGACACATTGAAGTGGAGTATGCACAGACAAATAGCAGAGGCCCAAACACACATACACACTTGATATGTATGTATGCACTTTAATGTGCTCACACACACACACACACACACACACACACACACACCTGCAGCCGGTGCTATACCATTGGTCTGGAAGGGGTTGGTGGCCATATCGGGGGCAGCAGCAACAAATGGGTTATTGGACGGGACAGCTGAAACAACAGGACATGACATGATGTTTTCATTATGTTTGAGGGTCAACCATTTCAGAAAATAATGTAGGTGGAACAATCCCCTCACCTCCAAAGCCTTGCTGCACATGCATGCTGGGTAATACTGGCTGAGTCTGGGCAGGCGAGGTTCCCAACACAGCTCCAAACATATTCCTAGATTCACTTAAACACATAACATAAATACATATCTTAGCTCATTGAACCACAAAAAAAAAACTGTTTTTAAGGCAGAGAGAGTGTGTATATCTAGAGTTAGCATATATATAAATGTGTTTTTAGTGCCAGGTTTTGGAGTGGTGCCTGTCTCTCACCCCTGGACACTGCTCCCTGTAGGGGCCGAGGAGCTCAGCTCGTTGTCCAGCTCAGCCAGAGCGGCGTAGCGGTCCTCTGCCGAGGGACCCAGCTGGGACTGGGCTGGTACAGCACCAGCCACCGACGGCACTGGGACACCTCGCCCTACAGTGAGGGGGAAAAAGTATTTGATCCCCTGCTGATTTTGTACGTTTGCCCACTGACAAAGAAATGATCAGTCTATACTTTTAAATGGTAGGTTTATTTGAACAGTGAGAGACAGAATAACAACAAAAAAATCCAGAAAAACGCATTGTAAATTGATTAGCATTTTAATGAGGGAAATAAGTATTTGACCCCCTCTCAAATCAGAAAGATTTCTGGCTCCCAGGTGTCTTTTATACAGGTAACGAGCTGAGATTAGGAGCACACTCTTAAAGGGAGTGCTCCTAATCTCAGCTTGTTACCTGTATAAAAGACACCTGTCCACAGAAGCAATCAATCAGATTCCAAACTCTCCACCATGGCCAAGACCAAAGAGCTCTCCAAGGATGTCAGCGACAAGATTGTAGACCTACACAAGGCTGGAATGGGCTACAAGACCATCGCCAAGCAGCTTGGTGGGAAGGTGACAACAGTTGGTGCGATTATTCGCAAATGGAAGAAACACAAAAGAACTGTCAATCTCCCTCGGCCTGGGGCTCCATGCAAGATCTCACCTCGTGGAGTTGCAATGATCATGAGAACGGTGAGGAATCAGCCCAGAACAACATGGGAGGATCTTGTCAATGATCTCAAGGCAGCTGGGACCATAGTCACTAAGAAAACAATTGGTAACTACGCCGTGAAGGACTGAAATCCTGCAGCGCCCGCAAGGTCCCCCTGCTCAAGAAAGCACACATACAGGGCCGTCTGAAGTTTGCCAATGAACATCTGAATGATTCAGAGGAGAACTGGGTGAAAGTTTTGTGGTCAGATGAGACCAAAATGAAGCTCTTTGGCATCAACTCAACTCGCCGTGTTTGGAGGAGGAGGAATGCTGCCTATGACCCCAAGAAAACACCCCCAAACATGGAGGTGGAAACATTATGCTTTGGGGGTGTTTTTCTGCTAAGGGGACAGGACAACTTCACTGCATCAAAGGGACGATGGACGGGGCCATGTACCGTCAAATCTTGGGTGAGCCAAGGGCATTGAAAATGGGTCATGGATGGGTATTCCAGCATGACAATGACCCAAAACACACGGCCAAGGCAACAAAGGAGTGGCTCAAGAAGAAGCACATTAAGGTCCTGGAGTGGCCTAGCCAGTCTCCAGACCTTAATCCCATAGACAATCTGTGGAGGGAGCTGAAGGTTCGAGTTGCCAAACGTCAGCCTCGAAACCTTAATGACTTGGAGAAGATCTGCAAAGAGGAGTGGGACAAAATCCCTCCTGAGATGTGTGCAAACCTGGTGGCCAACTACAAGAAACGTCTGACCTCTGTGATTGCCAACAAGGGTTTTGCCACCAAGTACCAAGTCATGGTCAAGTCAAGTACCAAGTCATGTTTTGCAGAGGGGTCAAATACTTATTTCCCTCATTAAAATGCAAATCAATTTATAACATTTTTTACATGCGTTTTTCTGGATTTTTTTGTTGTTATTCTGTCTCTCACTGTTCAAATAAACCTACCATAAAAATTATAGACTGATCATTTATTTGTCAGTGGGCAAACGTACAAAATCAGCAGGGGATCAAATACTTTTTTCCCCTCACTGTACACAGGGCTCAATATACACACATTCACGCACAGGGGAAAGGACATGGACACGAACACACACAAAAGAAAGAGGCACATGTGGGTATGACAAAAACAAGCTAACACGTCCCCCTGTTGGGCTTGGAACAGAGATAATGTAAACGAGAGGGTATGTATGAGAATGGGACTCAGCGGTACCTGACGCAAACGACTGTGAGGGGGGTGAGGTCCTGAAATGCGGCGGTACTCCAGAGTTGCCAAACGCCTCAAAGTTGGCAAAGTTAGCTTTTGAGTTAACCTGAGTCGCTGCAAACCACAGGGAGGAAACACAAAACCCTGACAATGTGAGGAATGAGGAACGAACGGCATGATGGTAAAAATGGTAGGAGTGGCAAATGACAATGATTTAACATAGAGACATTATAACGACGTATGTACACGTGTAGGCATGTTCACAGTCTCACTGCACTCCTCATTTGCATGCCCTCGAGATTTATTTAAATTTGGACTCTTTGAAGACAAAACCATTCAAATCTACTCAATATTGGGCGACGCCTAACTCCCACTTAATAAAAAAGGGGCAGTCTGCAGTTGCTACATACATTTTTGGACTAATGAATTTATTAAATGTACCCATTGACTCTTGAAGAATATAACTTATAAATGCCTCATGAGCTTTAGTTCAACTGTCGTACCCGGTCAGAACCCAAAATAAGCTTTTTTTCCTCTGTATAGCCTCAAAACATGGTTAAAACTATAATGTTGATATCATGGATGGTCAGTCCTTGCATCCATAGCGGTCTATGAATTTGAGAGTGGTTACATTTATCCAGCCCCATCCCTCAGCTTTATACCAAAACAAAGGCGGGGAATAGTCTTATTGTTTCAACTGCAATAGCTGCATTAAATCAAATTTTCACTTAGTCTCCTATTGACGTCAATGTATGACTAAGAGAAAATTCAACCTAAATGGAAGTTAGGATTTGCCCCTGTGAGTTTGAGTGAAGGCCATTCTCATGCATTACCTGATTGGCTAGGGAAACCTGACTGGCTCATTACCTGATTGGCTAGGGAAACCTGACTGGCTCATTACCTGATTGGCTGGGGAAATTTGCAAAGTTGGCAAAGTTGGCGTTGCTGGCAGCCTGAGAGGGCGGAGCGGCAAAGATGTCTCCACCCAGGTCCGAGAGGAGGTCAAACTTCTTCTCCTGAACTACGGGATGGGCCAGGGAGCGAACCACCATCGGGGACTGGCGGAGGGAGAGAGACCATGAGCAATAATTAATAATAACAATTTATTCAACTTATATAGTGCTTTTCAAAAAACCTTAAATTGTCTGTGATTCAAAGCACACAAAAAAAAATAAAGTAATTTAGAAAAACAACATCACAACGTCATGGATAGTCATTAGAAAGTTCATGGCTTGAGTGGTCATCTGAGGGAGGTGGTCAAGCAAGAAGAGAAAGTCCAGAGGCAGGCAGGAAAGTCACATCAAGGTGTCTCACTGTCTCTGGCTTTTCCGCAGTAAAACTCAGTCAGATGAAGTTTGAGCTAAGCGACACTAATCCATGGACTCTGTAGTAGGTAGCTAGCTACAGTGGGGGAAAAAAGTATTTAGTCAGCCACCAATTGTGCAAGTTCTCCCACTTAAAAAGATGAGAGGCCTGTAATTTATCATAGGTACACGTCAACTATGACAGACAAATTGAGGGAAAAAAAATCCAGAAAATCACATTGTAGGATTTTTAATGAATTTATTAGCAAATTATGGTGGAAAATAAGTATTTGGTCACCTACAAACAAGCAAGATTTCTGGCTCTCACAGACCTGTAACAACTTCTTTAAGAGGCTCCTCTGTCCTCCACTCGTATTAATGGCACCTGTTTGAACTTGTTATCAGTATAAAAGACACCTGTCCACAACCTCAAACAGTCACACTCCAAACTCCACTATGGCCAAGACCAAAGAGCTGTCAAAGGACACCAGAAACAAAATTGTAGACCTGCACCAGGCTGGGAAGACTGAATCTGCAATAGGTAAGCAGCTTGGTTTGAAAAAATCAACTGTGGGAGCAATTATTAGGAAATGGAAGACATACAAGACCACTGATAATCTCCCTCGATCTGGGGCTCCACGCAAGATCTCACCCCGTGGGGTCAAAATGATCACAAGAACGGTGAGCAAAAATCCCAGAACCACACGGGGGGACCTAGTGAATGACCTGCAGAGAGCTGGGACCAAAGTAACAAAGCCTACCATCAGTAACACACTACGCCGCCAGGGACTCAAATCCTGCAGTGCCAGACGTGTCCCCCTGCTTAAGCCAGTACATGTCCAGGCCCGTCTGAAGTTTGCTAGAGTGCATTTGGATGATCCAGAAGAGGATTGGGAGAATGTCATATGAAACCAAAATAGAACTTTTTGGTAAAAACTCAACTCGTCGTGTTTGGAGGACAAAGAATGCTGAGTTGCATCCAAAGAACACCATACCTACTGTGAAGCATTGGGGTGGAAACATCATGCTTTGGGGCTGTTTTTCTGCAAAGGGACCAGGACGACTGATCCGTGTAAAGGAAAGAATGAATGGGGCCATGTATCGTGGGATTTTGAGTGAAAACCTCCTTCCATCAGCAAGGGCATTGAAGATGAAACGTGGCTGGGTCTTTCAGCATGACAATGATCCCAAACACACCGCCCGGGCAACGAAGGAGTGGCTTCGTAAGATGCATTTCAAGGTCCTGGAGTGGCCTAGCCAGTCTCCAGATCTCAACCCCATAGAGAATCTTTGGAGGGAGTTGAAAGTCTGTGTTGCCCAGCGACAGCCCCAAAACATCACTGCTCTAGAGGAGATCTGCATGGAGGAATGGGCCAAAATACCAGCAACAGTGTGTGAAAACCTTGTGAAGACTTACAGAAAACGTTTGACCTGTGTCATTGCCAACAAAGTGTATATAACAAAGTATTGAGAAACTTTTGTTATTGACCAAATACTTATTTTCCACCATAATTTGCAAATAAATGTATTAAAAATCCTACAATGTGATTTTCTGATTTTTTTCTTCTCATTTTGTCTGTCATAGTTGACGTGTACCTATGATGAAAATTACAGGCCTCTCTCATATTTTTAAGTGGGAGAACTTGAACAATTGGTGGCTGACTAAATACTTTTTTTCCCCACTGTATCTACTCCTTCACTACTACCAAAATTAAGCGCCCACTTGGATGATGCTATGGCAGTCACGTGGCACCAGAAAGCACTCCACATTTCAATAATAATTAAACAGCAGCCTTGTAACTCCGTCCTCCCTACGTGCCTCATCACTGCATACCTCTGCAGTCTTGCTTTCGGGCTTCACTCCATCCTCAACCTCCAGACACTAGCTGTCATTTGAATCAAAACAGCTAGCCAGCTAACGTTAGCAAGCTATTCAAACAGCTTCAGTCTTAACGCTGATGATATGAATTAGCTATATTAAATTGTTCATTCTTAAAACAAAAAAAGATTGTAGGTAAAAAATGCTATAGAAATTAATTACAAAAATATTTACAAAATGTACAGGAGCTCTCTGCTTAGGCTGCTGCTAGGGCGCCATGGCAACAGTCTACTCAATGATGACATGCTTCAAAGAAAAACAACTGGGGACATTTTGGGTTGCACCCATTGACTTATATAATGACTAGACCAAGTTATGTAAATGGATAAAAGGGCATTTTTTTTTTGCAAATGACTCAAAAGCACATCAGCCTGAAAAGTATTACGCCATATGTTAGGAAAGCAGATAGAAGCAATACCTGATGTGCTGGGGGGGTCTTGTTGAGCTGCAGGGTTTTCAAGGGCTGGACTTCAGAGGTGCTGGCTGTGCTGCTGGCTGAGGAGCCCGACTTGGAGGCCTGGGACAAGGCTACTGTCCTCGCCTGGTCTGGAGGGACGTACCTGTGTGCACACAACCATTAATCAAAATACATCCAGGGCTGGAATTGCTGGAACGGAGTTCCAAAGGTGTAAGAATTTTGACATGTAAAACTGTGTTGTTCATGAATTCATAGGATTTCATATGGGCAGTTCTCTAGAGTTATTTTTCCTCCAATTCCACCCCTGAATACATCACAATAGAAACTGGAGGATCTCCTCTACACAATTCAAGCGATATTTTCAGTTAACGCAAGCGATATTTTCAGTTAACGCAAGCGATATTTTCAGTTAACGCAAGCGATATTTTCAGTTAACTCAAGCGATATTCAGTCAACTCAATAGAGATAATTAGTCAACTCAACTCAATAGACCCACCCAGTCAACTCAATAGAGCTATCCAGTCAACTCAATAGAGCTAGCCAGCAACTCAATAGAGCTATCCAGCAACTCAATAGAGCTATCCAGCAACTCAATAGACCCACCCAGTCAACTCAATAGAGCTAGCCAGTCAACTCAATAGAGCTATCCAGTCAACTCAATAGAGCTATTAAGTCAACTCAATAGAGCTAATCAGTTACCTCAATAGAGCTATTCGGTCAACTCAAGCGATATTCAGTCAACTCAATAGAGCTAGCCAGTCAACTCAATAGAGCTATCCAGTCAACTCAATAGAGCTATCCAGTCAACTCAATAGAGCTATCCAGTCAACTCAATAGAGCTAGCCAGTCAACTCAATAGAGCTATCCAGTCAACTCAATAGAGCTATCCAGTCAACTCAATAGAGCTAGCCAGTCAACTCAATAGAGCTATCCAGTCAACTCAATAGAGCTATCCAGTCAACTCAATAGAGCTATCCAGTCAACTCAATAGAGCTATTTAGTCAACTCAATAGAGCTAATCAGTCAACTCAATAGAGCTAATCAGTCAACTCAATAGAGATAGTCAGTCAACTCAATAGAGATAGCCAGTCAACTCAATAGAGATAGCCAGTCAACTCAATAAAGCTATCCAGTCAACTCAATAGAGCTAATCAGTCAACTCAATAGAGCTATTCAGTCAACTCAATAGAGCTATTCAGTCAACTCAATAGAGCTATTCAGTCAACTCAATAGAGCTAATCAGTCAACTCAATAGAGCTAATCAGTCAACTCAATAGAGATAGTCAGTCAACTCAATAGAGATAGCCAGTCAACTCAATAGAGATAGCCAGTCAACTCAATAAAGCTATCCAGTCAACTCAATAGAGCTAATCAGTCAACTCAATAGAGCTATTCAGTCAACTCAATAGAGATAATTAGTCAACTCAATAGAGCTATCCAGTCAACTCAATAGAGCTATTAAGTCAACTCAATAGAGCTAATCAGTCAACTCAATAGAGCTATTAAGTCAACTCAATAGAGATAGCCAGTCAACTCAATAAAGCTATCCAGTCAACTCAATAGAGCTAATCAGTCAACTCAATAGCGCTATTAAGTCAACTCAATAGAGCTAGCCAGTCAACTCAATAGAGCTAGCCAGTCAACTCAATAGAGCTATCCAGTCAACTCAATAGAGCTATTAAGTCAACTCAATAGAGCTAATCAGTCAACTCAATAGAGCTAATCAGTTACCTCAATAGAGCTATTCGGTCAACTCAAGCGATATTCAGTCAACTCAATAGAGCTAGCCAGTCAACTCAATAGAGCTATCCAGTCAACTCAATAGAGCTATCCAGTCAACTCAATAGAGCTATCCAGTCAACTCAATAGAGCTAATCAGTCAACTCAATAGAGATAGCCAGTCAACTCAATAGAGCTATCCAGTCAACTCAATAGAGCTATTTAGTCAACTCAATAGAGCTAATCAGTCAACTCAATAGAGCTAATTAGTCAACTCAATAGAGATAGTCAGTCAACTCAATAGAGATAGCCAGTCAACTCAATAGAGATAGCCAGTCAACTCAATAAAGCTATCCAGTCAACTCAATAGAGCTAATCAGTCAACTCAATAGAGCTATCCAGTCAACTCAATAGAGCTATCCAGTCAACTCAATAGAGCTATCCAGTCAACTCAATAGAGCTATCCAGTCAACTCAATAGAGATAATTAGTCAACTCAACTCAATAGAGCTATCCAGTCAACTTACTAGAGCTATCCAGTCAACTCAATAGAGCTATCCAGTCAACTCAATAGAGCTATCCAGTCAACTCAATAGAGCTAGCCAGTCAACTCAATAGAGCTAGCCAGTCAACTCAATAGAGCTATCCAGTCAACTCAATAGAGCTATCCAGTCAACTCAATAGAGCTAATCAGTCAACTCAATAGAGCTAATCAGTCAACTCAATAGAGCTAATCAGTCAACTCAATATAGCTATCCAGTCAACTCAAGAGCTATTTAGTCAACTCAAGAGCTATTTAGTCAACTCAATAGAGCTAATCAGTCAACTCAATAGAGATAGTCAGTCAACTCAATAGAGCTATCCAGTCAACTCAATAGAGCTATCCAGTCAACTCAATAGAGCTATCCAGTCAACTCAATAGAGCTATCCAGTCAACTCAATAGAGCTATTCAGTCAACTCAAGTGATATTCAGTCAACTCAATAGAGATAATTAGTCAACTCAACTCAATAGAGATAACCAGTCAACTCAATAGACCTATCCAGTCAACTCAATAGAGCTATCCAGTCAACTGAATAGAGCTATCCAGTCAACTCAATAGAGCTATTCAGTCAACTCAATAGAGCTAGCCAGCAACTCAATAGAGCTAGCCAGTCAACTCAATAGAGCTAGCCAGTCAACTCAATAGAGCTATCCAGTCAACTCAATAGAGCTATCCAGTCAACTCAATAGAGCTATTAAGTCAACTCAATAGAGCTAATCAGTCAACTCAATAGAGCTAATCAGTTACCTCAATAGAGCTATTCAGTCAACTCAAGCGATATTCAGTCAACTCAATAGAGCTAGCCAGTCAACTCAATAGAGCTAGCCTGTCAACTCAATAGAGCTATCCAGTCAACTCAATAGAGCTATCCAGTCAACTCAATAGAGCTAATCAGTCAACTCAATAGAGCTATTCAGTCAACTCAATAGAGCTATTCAGTCAACTCAATAGAGCTAGCCAGCAACTCAATAGAGCTAGCCAGTCAACTCAATAGAGCTAGCCAGTCAACTCAATAGAGCTATCCAGTCAACTCAATAGAGCTATCCAGTCAACTCAATAGAGCTATCTAGTCAACTCAATAGAGCTAATCAGTCAACTCAATAGAGCTAATCAGTCAACTCAATAGAGATAGTCAGTCAACTCAATAGAGATAGCCAGTCAACTCAATAGAGATAGCCAGTCAACTCAATAGAGATAGCCAGTCAACTCAATAGAGCTATCCAGTCAACTCAATAGAGCTATCCAGTCAACTCAATAGAGCTATTCAGTCAACTCAATAGAGCTATCCAGTCAACTCAACAGAGCTATCCAGTCAACTCAATAGAGCTATCCAGTCAACTCAATAAAGCTATTCAGTCAACTCAAGCGATATTCAGTCAACTCAATAGAGATAATTAGTCAACTCAACTCAATAGAGATAACCAGTCAACTCAATAGACCTATCCAGTCAACTCAATAGAGCTATCCAGTCAACTCAATAGAGCTATCCAGTCAACTCAATAGAGCTATCCAGTCAACTCAATAGAGCCATCCAGTCAACTCAATAGAGCTATCCAGTCAACTCAATAGAGCTATCCAGTCAACTCAATAGAGCTATCCAGTCAACTCAATAGAGCTATCCAGTCAACTCAATAGAGCTATTCAGTCAACTCAAGTGATATTCAGTCAACTCAATAGAGATAATTAGTCAACTCAACTCAATAGAGATAACCAGTCAACTCAATAGACCTATCCAGTCAACTCAATAGAGCTATCCAGTCAACTCAATAGAGCTATCCAGTCAACTCAATAGAGCTATTCAGTCAACTCAATAGAGCTAGCCAGCAACTCAATAGAGCTAGCCAGTCAACTCAATAGAGCTAGCCAGTCAACTCAATAGAGCTATCCAGTCAACTCAATAGAGCTATCCAGTCAACTCAATAGAGCTATTAAGTCAACTCAATAGAGCTAATCAGTCAACTCAATAGAGCTAATCAGTTACCTCAATAGAGCTATTCAGTCAACTCAAGCGATATTCAGTCAACTCAATAGAGCTAGCCAGTCAACTCAATAGAGCTAGCCTGTCAACTCAATAGAGCTATCCAGTCAACTCAATAGAGCTATCCAGTCAACTCAATAGAGCTAATCAGTCAACTCAATAGAGCTATTAAGTCAACTCAATAGAGCTATTCAGTCAACTCAATAGAGCTATTCAGTCAACTCAATAGAGCTATCCAGTCAACTCAATAGAGCTATTCAGTCAACTCAATAGAGCTATCCAGTCAACTCAACAGAGCTATCCAGTCAACTCAATAGAGCTATCCAGTCAACTCAATAAAGCTATTCAGTCAACTCAAGCGATATTCAGTCAACTCAATAGAGATAATTAGTCAACTCAACTCAATAGAGATAACCAGTCAACTCAATAGACCTATCCAGTCAACTCAATAGAGCTATCCAGTCAACTCAATAGAGCTATCCAGTCAACTCAATAGAGCTATCCAGTCAACTCAATAGAGCCATCCAGTCAACTCAATAGAGCTATCCAGTCAACTCAATAGAGCTATCCAGTCAACTCAATAGAGCTATCCAGTCAACTCAATAGAGCTATCCAGTCAACTCAATAGAGCTATTCAGTCAACTCAAGTGATATTCAGTCAACTCAATAGAGATAATTAGTCAACTCAACTCAATAGAGATAACCAGTCAACTCAATAGACCTATCCAGTCAACTCAATAGAGCTATCCAGTCAACTCAATAGAGCTATCCAGTCAACTCAATAGAGCTATTCAGTCAACTCAATAGAGCTAGCCAGCAACTCAATATAGCTATCCAGTCAACTCAATAGAGCTATTCAGTCAACTCAATAGAGCTAGCCAGCAACTCAATAGAGCTAGCCAGCAACTCAATAGAGATATCCAGTCAACTCAATAGAGCTATCCAGTCAACTCAATAGAGCTATCCAGTCAACTCAATAGAGCTATTAAGTCAACTCAATAGAGCTAATCAGTCAACTCAATAGAGCTAATCAGTTACCTCAATAGAGCTATTCAGTCAACTCAAGCGATATTCAGTCAACTCAATAGAGCTAGCCAGTCAACTCAATAGAGCTAGCCTGTCAACTCAATAGAGCTATCCAGTCAACTCAATAGAGCTATCCAGTCAACTCAATAGAGCTAATCAGTCAACTCAATAGAGCTATTAAGTCAACTCAATAGAGCTATTCAGTCAACTCAATAGAGCTATTCAGTCAACTCAATAGAGCTATCCAGTCAACTCAATAGAGCTATCCAGTCAACTCAATAGAGCTATCCAGTCAACTCAATAGAGCTATCTAGTCAACTCAATAGAGCTAATCAGTCAACTCAATAGAGCTAATCAGTCAACTCAATAGAGCTAATCAGTCAACTCAATAGAGATAGTCAGTCAACTCAATAGAGATAGCCAGTCAACTCAATAGAGATAGCCAGTCAACTCAATAGAGATAGCCAGTCAACTCAATAGAGCTATCCAGTCAACTCAATAGAGCTATTCAGTCAACTCAATAGAGCTAATCAGTCAACTCAATAGAGCTATCCAGTCAACTCAACAGAGCTATCCAGTCAACTCAATAGAGCTATCCAGTCAACTCAATAAAGCTATCCAGTCAACTCAATAGAGCTATTCAGTCAACTCAAGCGATATTCAGTCAACTCAATAGAGATAATTAGTCAACTCAACTCAATAGAGATAACCAGTCAACTCAATAGACCTATCCAGTCAACTCAATAGAGCTATCCAGTCAACTCAATAGAGCTATCCAGTCAACTCAATAGAGCCATCCAGTCAACTCAATAGAGCCATCCAGTCAACTCAATAGAGCTATTCAGTCAACTCAATAGAGCTATCCAGTCAACTCAATAGAGCTATCCAGTCAACTCAATAGAGCTATATAGTCAACTCAATAGAGCTAATCAGTCAACTCAATAGAGCTATTCAGTCAACTCAATAGAGCTTTCAGTCAACTCAAGCGATATTCAGTCAACTCAATAGAGATAATTAGTCAACTCAACTCAATAGAAATATCCAGTCAACTTAATAGAGCTATCCAGTCAACTCAATAGATATCCAGTCAACTCAATAGAGATATCCAGTCAACTCAATAGAGCTATTCAGTCAACTCAATAGAGCTATTCAGTCAACTCAATAGAGCTATTCAGTCAACTCAATAGAGCTAGCCAGTCAACTCAATAGAGATAGCCAGTCAACTCAATAGAGATAGCCAGTCAACTCAATAGAGATAGCCAGTCAACTCAATAGAGATAGCCAGTCAACTCAATAGAGCTATCCAGTCAACTCAACAGAGCTATCCAGTCAACTCAACAGAGCTATTCAGTCAACTCAATAGAGATAGCCAGTCAACTCAATAGAGATAGCCAGTCAACTCAATAGAGATAGCCAGTCAACTCAATAGAGCTATCCAGTCAACTCAACAGAGCTATTCAGTCAACTCAACAGAGCTATTCAGTCAACTCAACAGAGCTATTCAGTTAACTCAACAGAGCTATTCAGTTAACTCAACAGAGCTATTCAGTTAACTCAACAGAGTTATTCAGTTAACTCAACAGAGCTATTCAGTTAACTCAACAGAGATATTCAGTTAACTCAACAGAGCTATTCAGTTAACTCAACAGAGATAATCAGTGAACTCAACAGAAAGCAGAAGAGTGAAGCTCCTCACCATCTTTTCTTCTCATATTTTTCCTGGAGGAATTCTTTTACTTTCTGTTGTTCGCGGAAGTCTGGAACAACCAATGTCCTGTCATCGTACAGCCCCAACCAGATGTATTTACAAACCTAGAGAGAAAGTGTGTGGGGAAGGGGGTGGAGAGAGAGAGAGCGAGAGAGAGAAGAGAAATGCCAATAAACTCCCTTGAGACAGAAAAACTCCCTTGAGACAGAAAAACTGAAAGACGGCAGACATGAGGAGGCTGACATGCACAAAGACAATAATCTATTGTTCTTCAACACTGGTCCTGGGGATCCACAGGGTCAGCAGGCTTTTATTCTCAATACTGACACATCTGACTAAGCTAATCATCAGTGCCTTTGAATGAATCCGATGTGTTAGTGCTAGGCTGAAACAAAAGCCTGCACTCCCTGCGGATCCCCAGGACTAGAATTGAAGAACACATTTCTTAGCACATTACTTGAATTAATGTCAGTACCTCGTTGGTGTGTTTCTGTAAGAATTCAATTTCCTGTAGTGTGAAGGTGGTCATAGAGATGGACTTCACTCTGTGGGGGGGATTCAAGCCTCGTCTAGAGTGTGTGGGGTGGGGGTTAACGATAACAGAGGGTAACAATTGGTGAGTATGCATTCTGTGTCAATAACTTTACAATGACCAGGCACAACATGACTGAACACTGACAGCTAAATGTGCATTCTGGCTACATATTGGACATAAATTACTAACATTCACTGTCAAAAGTGACAACCATCAGTGGAAGTCAGTCATATGTATCATATAAGGGTATGCATTCATGTGCACATATGGAGTGAGATGATCAGTTTAAACATCAGTTGTGTTTTTGTCAGTAGTCCCTTCCTATTGTGGTCTCTAAACCATATGGATTTGTATTACTTGACCCACAATGTATTCTATAAGTGTTTGGCAAGCAACAGATGCGACCATTTCTGCATTGCCCAATACACATCCTCTATATCGGCGTGAGCAACGGGATGTCCCAAACTACGCCTACTGTATAGATAAAAGTGGATTGGGAAAGAGCCGAGGTTGTGCAAGAGTTTCGCCGGTAGTGCAGTGACGTGCTGCTTTGACACACTGGGCAAATACGCTTTTTATCAGCAACTATCACACACTAACCTTGACACAAGTATTTTCGGCACAAACAATTGGGTGACCTTTCAAAGATTGGGAATTGAGACCTCTCCTTAAAACAAAGCATGGGCTTGCGACCCTTCCGAACCAATAGCCTCGAGCTAACGTTGGATAGCATTACCTACTGTGTTGGGGAGCTTGATAAGTAACATTAGCTAAACAACCCAAATACACCATAAAGAACTACATTAGCTTACTTTAAAAACAACAATAGTCAACACAGTACTTACAGGATGCCAGAACAGGTGGTGCAGACGAAGGAACCCACTGTCATGTTGGCATAAGTCGGGCCGCGCTGGTCGCAATCAAAGCACTTCCTATTCGGGGGCTGGCTAGTCATTTCCCGAAGCATCTTAAGATGCGTCTCCTCTTGTTTTCGCTTCGCACTCGTCGCCATGGTTGAGAAAAGGGCCTACTAAAGGTGGGAGAAGTTTATCCAGGGCTAGGGAGGGGATGTCTTGCCTCGAAGGCGGTGGTCCAGACACCTTGCAAGGAGGTCTAGTGGGACGGACACATTTCTTCTTCGTTGGTATAAAGATGTACTAGACAGTTAACCGGAGCGTGACTGACACCTACCGGTGGGAAGCTCTGGTGGGCAGCAATGACCATTCGACAACATTACATTGATGAATAACAGTTTAATAGTAAATACAATGTTTACCATCATACTGACATATTCTGTAAAAACAACAATGATTTAAGAGATAATCTCCTCTTCCAAAAGACATCCTTAGGAGTTGTGCTCTACTTTGACATTATCCTGTCAGTTTATCATAAAGTCCTTTGCCTAAAATGTGCCACTGTTGAGGGTAGCAGGTGTCCACCCATTTGCCTTCCCTCCATAGAAATCAATCGTCTCCTGTTTTGGCTGAGGGAACAAGCAAGACCCCACAGACAGTGGTTGCACTGTTCTCGCCAATGAGTCCCCCGCCTCCGCGCATCCTGTTTACTCTCTAACTAGGAGTTGGCTAGGGTCGTGTTCATTAGGGCACACAACATTTTAAAACGTTTTGCAACGGGAAACAAATAATATGAACATTACCTATTGGACATGTCCAGTTAGTCTGTCCCAGTTTCAATGTATTTTCTTACGTCTCTTGCCTAATGAACATGACCCTGAGGTAGTCGCTGTCCCGAATCACTAATCTTTACATAATCAGAATCGGTTTATGCTCAATTGTTAGGAAGTTAAAGAAGTGTACAGATCAGTTGATCTGCACAGCTGCATGCTCAGGTAGACCCTCATGAACAAGCATAGCCTGAAGACCCGACATTGAATCGCATAGAATTCTACGTCGGGCAGAAATGAGCATTTGAATGCTGAATAAAATTATACTTTACCAGTTGCCCTTGTGGTTGGTCCTTTTGCAGGTAGGAATGTAAGACAAAATACCACTGTAGTGTTATCAACCCGACCTTCAGTATGCTGGTCTGTATATCGTTTGTATTTCTGGTTTATATTTTCAATACTGATGCAATTCGCACGTGACAAACACTTACACAATATGGCAGAGCCTAACCTGAATGGCAAACACTTACAGCGGATTTTCAACTCGACTACATTCAGCTATTGTTTACATATTTTGCATCACATGCGATGCGTCAACAGGTTGAAAATACCGCAAAAAGTCGGGTAAACAACACTTTCCTGTGGATTTATCTCCACCTCCTACCGCCAAATGGACCAGCAGCATGTACAACCGGTCAAGTGTAAATATCATTTTATTCAACATTCTGGCTTGTAGAGACTATTGCGTCTTTTTTTACAATGACTGGTGTAACCATGGTAACAGTCTGACAGCTGGGGTGGAATCATTAGTTCAAACAGTTGCAAAACGTTTAGTTTTGCGACTAAAACGAGCGTTTATATTGGACAAATTAAGGTAGGCCCCGCCCCGTTTAATACCGTTTGCTTCTATTTAAGAAACGTTTTGTAACAGAATCGGAGTTATGAACATTTCCCCTGGTTAGTCAGGATGCATTTGCAGTACCGCCAGGCTCCATCGGAGGACAGTGTCACTTCGACCTCACTCTCTTTCCTTTGGTGGCGATGAAATCCCCAGCTTCAGCCGGCTACAAGTGGAGAGATAAGGCTGGTATTCCAGACAACACAATGACTGAATACATACTAGAAATACACTGGCCGATTTAGGTGCCACATCTCTTTCAGTTTAGCCTGGATTCCTGGCAGTTTTTGCTTTAGCCAACCCGGTTATCTCGAAATGTTATCTTTCCAAACAAGGCAAGGCAAGGCAAGGCAATGTGACGTCACATGCGCCGAATACAACAGGTGTAGACCTTACAGTGAAATGCTTACAAGCCCTTAACCAACAATGCAGTTTTAAGAAAAATAAGTGTTAAGTAAAAAAAATAGATAACTAAAAAAAAATTAACATAACAAATAATGAAAGAGCAGCAGTAAAATAACAGCAGCGAGGCTATATACAGTCAATGTGCGGGGGCACAGGTTAGTCGAGGTAATTGAGGTAATATGCACATGTAGGTAGAGTTAAAGTGACTATGCATAGATAATAAACAGAGAGTAGCAGCAGTTTGGCAATCAGGCTACTCCCAGTTCAGCAGTACAGGGTCATGTTCAGTAGGGCACACGGTAGTGAATCATTACGCAGGCAACAGAGAAGGAAACCCTGTGCTCGTACTGGACAAGTTCAGGTAGTATCTTCACACGGTTTCAAAGCGTTTTCTCCTGTTTCGAGCCTACTGAACACTACCCAGAAGAAAACATGGATTTCAACACTTTTTTAACTGTTTCCAGAAGAGAGACATCTCTATTGACAGTCAATATAACCAAATAAATTAAAGGTGATCAATCAATAAAGGCATACCTACACTGATGAGGTTATAAAACAACCGTGAAAAATCGCTGTACGATTCAAACTGTTAACGTTAGCTGTGCTGGATATAATGGACCAGTGTAAAGGGTTGATACAGTATGAGGATCTCCAAAGCCATAAGTAGATATGAAGCATTTCGCATCGATTAACTGCCTAATAAAGTGATATATATATAGCCATCTTTATACAGGGCTCTGGTACCTCATGATGAGATAGAGAGTTAAGCAGGTACTCCCACCGTAAAAAGGTGAGGCGTCGTCTCATAGTGGTGTTATATCACCTGCTGCCTTTTCTGCGTAACGCGGAAGAAGTCTTCCATGCAGGTTTGTCGGCTCGGTCCTGCTGCCTTGGCACCCTCCCTCTCCTCTCATAGGTCTCACGGAACTTCGCCACAGGTCTCACGGAACTTCGCCACAGGTCTCACGGAACTTCGCCAAAGGTCTCACGGAACTTCGCCACAGGTCTCACGGAACTTCGCCATAGGTCTCACGGAACTTCGCCATATGTCTCACGGAACTTCGCCACAGGTCTCACGGAACTTCGCCACAGGTCTCACGGAACTTCGCCATAGGTCTCACGTAACTTCGCCATAGGTCTCACGGAACTAGGCCATAGGTCTCACGGAACTTCGCCATATGTCTCACGGAACTTCGCCATAGGTCTCACGGAACTTCGCCATAGGTCTCACGGAACTTCGCCATTGGTCTCACGGAACTTCGCCATTCGACCGCGTACCTTGTGATCCCTACATATCACACATACATGGATTACTACCATTTTAGATGACTAGGCCTGGACATAAAACATGCACTGCAGATCCAGATGATTAGAGTTGTGCACACCAGGGGTCGCATTGTATCAAGCGTCTCAGTTTTAGCTTTTAGAACACAATGAAGAAGATCACATGGACAGGGAGGACCTGATCCTAGATCAGCACTCCTGTTCTGGGATGCTTGATACATACGACCCCTGGTCTAATTCCAAAGGGGGTCATACAGGACCAGAACAGTACTTGACGTGTTTTTCCATGGCACAGAAACTGGACCAGGGCCTCCTCATCTGGCTCAGTCCAGGTCAGGTCCGAGGGCTCGGTCAGGGTGGCATCCAGAAACAGCTTGCGGGCGTCCTGGTACTGCCAGAACAGTGGGACAAGGGTGGAGCTGGAGAAGGAGGGGTTGGAGAGTGTTATTCTAGGTACAGTCCATGGACAGGGACATAGCATAAGAGGTGAGGTCTGAGTTGAACAATTAAATAATTATTAGTTAATATTATGTTCATCATATGTGGAGTGGTAACAAATGACATTGATTATTTCCTTGGTTTACTAGAATGTTTAATCCGGATTCATAAAGAAGACTTCTGCAAACGCATTGGCTCCAAAATCTCCAAGTCAATTGCATTGTAGTAATATGAGCAGTGGTCAGAGAGGAAACATACCTTTCTGTTGATGTTCAGTACTAGGTTCTCTATGGTCCGGTGCTGCTGGATCAGTCAGAGCTCTCTTAGGCCTGCAATCTCATCGCAGTAGTCAACAGCCCAACAAGATACACAAATCCACAAACTGACAGATATTAGAAGGATAAGGAGAAGAGGTGTTAATGACTCTGGGAGCATTGTGAGAGGATAATAGTTGTGAGATCATACTTGAGAGAAAAGTACATAATGATGTTGTATGCCTTACAATACAATGACAGAGTGTGCTTATATATACATGAAGCTTATGACCATGTAATGAAGGCCTATGACCATGTAATTAAGGCCTATGACCATGTAATGAAGGCCTATGACCATGTAATTAAGGCCTATGACCATGTAATTAAGGCCTATGACCATGTAATGAAGGCCTATGACCATGTAATGAAGGCCTATGACCATGTAATTAAGGCTTATGACCATGTAATGAAGGCCTATGACCATGTAATTAAGGCTTATGACCATGTAATGAAGGCCTATGACCATGTAATTAAGGTCTATGACCATGTAATGAAGGCCTATGACCATGTAATTAAGGCCTATGACCATGTAATTAAGGCCTATGACTCATTCATTACAAAAGCTTCGGGTGGTCTTACCTCTTCATGTGTAATCTTCGGAATGTCTAGCAGCTTGGGTAGAGAGTATGCAATGACTTCACTGTGAGGAGAGGAAGAATTCGACAGAGAGAAGCGGCCATCAGTCATTTCAATAACAATCAATAAATATAATTTGTATAGCCTTCTTTTACGAATACTTTGCCACAAAGTGCTTGGAATGCCATCCAGGCCTAAAGCCTATTCTATTGGGGAAGCCCACAGCCATATCGACATGGTTATGGACTCATACAGCTGCACACTCGCCGGTCTTTCTTGGCATTGAGCTGACGGATCAGGACGTTGCCACCAAAGGGGCAGTGTCCATGTCTTCTGATGCCACCGCGTCTACTGTGCCCCGTTTCACCAGGTGGGCAAATAATTCCTCGCCATCCCCCGGAACCTTGAGAGAGGGAGGGGAGGGAGACATGTCATTGTGTGGTGGTTAGTGTGTGTTCAAGTCCAGGGACGGCCTGTTCAATAGGGCGATATGGGCGACGCACTGCCAAACGGGAAAAGGAAGGGATTTTTTTTCTAATCAATTATATCACGGCAACAGTAGTTATCAGTGTTGTAATCTGATCTGACTGCCACTAAATGTCAAATCAGGCTAAAGTCGTGCTTCAAATGGCCCCGCCCGTTTTTGGGGCGATTTCAGTCAGGTTGAAAATCGCCCAGAAGTCTCTCATAGCCTGTCATGTAAAATCTATTTTTTTCCAATTTCAAAGCTTTCAATACAATCTCTATGGGGGTCTGTGGGCTTGCACTTACGCGCTTTCGTCATACGTGACGTAACCATGAACGTAACTAAGCAAATAGCGGCTAGCAGCGTCTCTGTTGCGACCTGCAGTGTGGCATTATTTTATGTTTTTAATTTGTACACTTAGTTTACAAACATTCTGCCAACCATGGATTTCCAGTGGTGGGTTTTGGACTGATCTTGTTGATCGTGTACATACCCGCTACGAACGGACTAAATAATGAAAACGCTGCTGGCAGCGGAATCCAATACAGCTGGGAGACTTGGCTGGATGACAGAGTCCCGGAGAAGTGGAGCCGGCCGGCTTCACCCTGGTCAGAACGGACCGCGATCTGACAGTCACAGATCGATCCTGGTAAGACGACCTTACTATCTGCCCCGTGAGTTCCCCCAATTGTTTGTTACCGTTGTGTACTGTTGATAATCACAAGTTTACTGGAGAACTGAGACCAAGTAGAGACTTTGGACAGGGTGGATATGGTATAATAAAGGCAGTTTATTCAGAGGTAAAGATATCTGGAATCGCGTGCACGGACTCGTTCGTCAAACTCTTAGGGAGCTATCTTAAGAGAGCCCCGAAAACATTGTGTGCAGACATTTTATACAATAAATGATGTAGGTTGAATCTAGTAGTTCTGATCTTCTGATTGGTCCTGATGAGTTGGGCGAGGTCCCCTCCACTGTTGCATTGGCTCTGAGTCGGGTTCTCTGTCTTCAAATGTTCAGCCTAAAGAGAGGGGATTTTTCTGTGTGTGTGTGTGTGTGTGTGTGTGTGTGTTTAACAGTGATGATGTGTGTGTGTGTGTGTGTGTGTGTTATCAGTGATGATGTGTGTGTGTGTGTGTGTGTGTGTGTGTGTCCTCAGAGCAAGAACTTGTGAGTTGGAAGAACTGAGAGACCTATGGCGTGGGTGTTGTCCTTGGCCACCTGCTGACAAGGCTGACAAGATAGGACTCTTTTGTCCATTGTTATAGGATAGGAACAGCATTGATTGAAAACAAACGCCCAACACAAAATGGGTCATGCACAAGATTTTAGTCAGACCAAGCTATAACATTATATATTTACTACGACAGTACATTCAACCAAAAGCTAATATAACAAAGGCATCAGAGATTATTTATAATCTGTCACAGAAACTGGAATCCATCTCCCCAGATCAGTCAATAAATGCTTCTGGTATTGACTTATATTCTGCCCCTGTCTTCATGTTGTTGCTGGACATATCTTTTTAAAAATGTGTGTAGGTCACCTAAATCATCAGAAAAATTGCCCCTCCTGAGAATTTTTTCAGGAGCCGCCACTGTTCAAGTCAACTTGGTGTATTCAGGGTGTGTTCAGGGTTAGCATGCTACATGCTACACAGAGGATTGGTGCACTGACCTGGATGATGGCCCCAGCCAATAAGCTTCAGGAGCTGGAGACAGTCACGCGTCTGAGGACACACTACACGGGCACACAGAAACAGGTCAAAAGTCCAATACAGGAAGACAGAAAACGTGGGTGTATTCATTTAGACCAAGAATGTAGCACAGTTGCAAACAGTTGCAAAACATTCTTGGTGGTGATATATTGGTATTTTATTGGTATTATTTGATCTGTATATATTTTTAAATGTTTATATTATGTGTTGTGCGAGGTTGGGGATTGGGTGGGTCCGCCTGGTGTATGTTTGGGATGGGGGTTGGAGGGGTTGTTAAAAAAGGTATTGTTATTTATCGATTGTATTGCCTTGATGTCAAGCCCTGACTCAGGGGACGCTTATATGTTGAGTCAGGGTGTGTATATTCCTTGTTGTGCTTTTTCTATGTGTGGGATCTAGCATGTATAGATCTATGTTGGCCGGTGTGGTTCCCAATCAGAGGCAGCTGTCGCTCGTTGCCTCTGATTGGGGACCATACTTAGGCAGGCTATTGGCACTGTCTAGTTGTGGGATCTTGTTCCTGGTAAGGTATGTTGTGTGTGCTACCTTGGACTTCACGTTTCGTTTCCTTTGTTGTTTTGTCGTGTGTTTATTAAGTTCAATAAACATGTACGCATATCACGCTGCGCCTTGGTCTCACCCGTCATTCAACGAACGAGACAGAAGATCCCACCAAACGAGGACCAAGCAGCGTGCCGAGAAGGAGCAAACGCCTGGGACTCAACAGGAGGTAACATTAGTATATGTCCTCCTCGGTTGGGGGAGAATTACGGAGGAGGAGGCCGTCCGCTACCGGAAGGCGATGAAGGAGGATGCCCAGGTAGGAGAGGAGAAACGGCACCAACAGTGGCGACAACGGAGACCCGAGAGGCAACCCCAATAACATTTTTTGGGGGGGGCACACGGTGTGGACGACGAGGCAGCAGGAGGCCGTGAAAGGGCGGATCTGCAGGTTAGGAGAGGAGGCCACCATGTTACGGGGCTATTGGTTCAGAGGGAGCAGGAGTTATTCGGTCAGAGGGAGGCGCTACAGGAAGCTAAAAGGGAGAAGGAAAAAGTAGAGGCACGGCGAGAGGAGCTGGTTAGGCAGCAGAAGGAGCGGGGGTTTATAAAGGAACCCAGTCCTGCTCCTCGCACCAAGCCAGCGGTGCGTGTTCCCAGTCCGGCCCGGCCCGTTCCTGCTCCTCGCACCAAGCCTGTGGTGCGCGTCGCCAGCCCGGCCCGGCCCGTTCCTGCTCCTCGCACCAAGTCAGTGGTGCGCGTCGCCAGTCCGGCCCGGCCCGTTCCTGCTCCTCGCACCAAGTCAGTGGTGCGCGTAGCCAGCCCGGCCCGGCCTGTTCCTGCTCCTCGCACCAAGCCAGTGGTGCGCGTCGCCAGTCCGGCCCGGCCTGTTCCTGCTCCTCGCACCAAACTAGTGTTGCGCGTCGCCAGTCCGGCCCGGCCCGTTCCTGTCCCTCGCACCAAGCCAGTGGTGCGTGTTCCTAGTCCGGTCCGGCCCGTGCCTGCTCCTCGCACCAGACCAGTGGTGCGTTTGTCCAGTCCGGCACGGCCCGTGCCCGTTCCACCGGTGCCTGGTCCGGCACCGGTCAGCTGCTCCACTCCGGAGCCAGAGCAGTCCGCTCCACCGGTGCCTGATCCAGTGCCGGTCAGCTGTTCCACTCCGGAGCCAGAGCAGTCCGCTCCACCGGTGCCTGATCCAGCTCCGGTCAGCTGCGCCACTCCGGAGCCAGAGCAGTCCGCTCCACCGGGGTCCAGTCCAGCTCTGGTCAGCGGCTCCACTCCGGAGCCAAAGCAGTCCGCTCCACCGGTGCCTGATCCAGCTTCGGTCAGCAGCTCCACTCCGGATCCAGAGCGGTCCGCTCCACCGGTGCCCAGTCCAGCTCCGGTCAGCGGCTCCAGTCCAGACCATGACGTCAGCCCCTCTCCAGGTTCGGGGTCTCCCACACCAGGGTCCAGACAGGGCCTGGCGTATCGTGGGAGGAAGGAGAGGGGAAGCAGCGCGCCGAGGTCCAGGCCAGACCAGGGGCGCAACAGGGAGGCGGAGAGTGAGAGGTCGTCACGCCCTGAGCCGGATGCCCACCCGGCCCCTACCCTGTTATGTTTATGTTGTGCGGTCGGAGTCCGCACCTTTGGGGGGGGGGGGGGGGGGGGTACTGTCACGCCCTGACTCAGGGGACGCTTATATGTTGAGTCAGGGTGTGTATATTCCTTGTTGTGCTTTTTCTAGGTGTGGGATCTAGCATGTATAGATCTATGTTGGCCAGTGTGGTTCCCAATCAGAGGCAGCTGTCGCCCATTGTCTCTGATTGGGGACCATACTTAGGCAGGCTATTGGCACTGTCTTGTTGTGGGATCTTGTTCCTGGTAAGGTATGTTGTGTGTGCTACCTTGGACTTCACGTTTCGTTTCCTTTGTTGTTTTGTCGTGTGTTTATTAAGTTCAATAAACATGTACGCATATCACGCTGCGCCTTGGTCTGACCCGTCATTCAACGAACGTGACACTTGATGTGATCCAATAAAAACAATTGTTCACAAAAAAAAACATTTTGCAATGGAAACTGTTCACTCTAAACGGAAAACATTTCGCAACGAAAACGAGTTTCAATTGGACAAATTCAGGTAGGTCGCGCCCCGTTCCGTTCTGTTTGCATCTGTTGGCTTCAGTTTGGTTCCTAGTGAATACACCCCTGGTATGCGCTGTGATTGAATTCCAATGTTTCTCTTACCTGTTCCTGAACGACTGTGGGAGCTCCAGCCTGCAGGCTGTGCGCTCTTCTCCAGCTGGAAGGAAACATTGCACTACTTGTGAGGTAGGTAGCTCAAACGATCAATCTGTCACGGGACTAGGGCGAGAGGACGGGAACATGGGTTAGAAACAGAAACAGGGCCCCTGATCCAGAGTTAGTTGACGCAGAATAGAAACGCATCCCAATAGTCTAAAGTGACTCCCTCTTCATCTAGGCTATGGTCTATAGGGGCGGCAGGTAGCCTGCTAGGCAAATCCCCGCCTTATCTTAGCTCATTGGTCACCATAGCAACACCCACCCGTAGCATGCGCTCCAGCAGGTATATCTCACTGGTCATCCCCAAAGCCAACACCTCCTTTGGCCGCCATTCCTTCCAGTTCTCTGCTGCCAATGACTGGAACGAACTGCAAAAATCTCTGAAGCTGGAGACACTTATCTCCCTCACTAACTTTAAGCGTCAGTTGTCAGAGCACCTTACCGATCACTGCACCTGTACACAGCCATTCTGAAATTAGCCCATATTGTTATTTATTTTGCACCCCAGTATCTCTATTTGCACATCATCTTTTGCACACCTAGCATTCCAGTGTTAATACGAAATTGTAACTATTTTGCACTATGGCCTATTTATCGCCTTACCTCCATAACTTACTACATTCACACACACTGTATATATATTTTCTGTTGTATTTTTTACTTTGTTTTGTTTACCCCATATGTAACTCTGTGTTGTTGTTTTTAATCGCACTGCTTTGCTTTATCTTGGCCAGGTCGCAGTTGTAAATGAGAACTTGTTCTCAACTGGCCTACCTGGTTAAATAAAGGTGAAATAAATAAATAAATAAAAATACACAGTTGTGGTGGAAACCTGTTGTTTTTACACTAATCTACCAATAGGGGGCAGAGGGTAGAGAACAACAGATCATACTTTTCAACCACCCATCATTTATTACAGTAAAATATTTACAAACAATCCATTGATATATTACAATAAAATATATAGATAGATAAATACACATAAATAAATGTTCAACTAAAGAAAACAAATAAAAAACAACTGTTTTTCAACTAAAGATGGCAGCTTTGTGCAGCGTGAACAGCGACTGATAAATACAGAACAGAATCACATTTGTCGCAATGTTTCTTAGCTGTATATATTCTACAAGATACATACATATTTATTCCAGAAAAATATGAGTTCAAATGATTTTTTCCCCACACACGGCAATTACATCATACAGTGCTAAAGACTTCATTGGATGATATTGAATAAACAATAGACTCATGCTCTGCTTCTTGCCAACATCGACGTAGGAAAGAAATAAATCATCAATCCAAACCATAAATTGTAGTAATTGGTATGAATCCCTTTACACAGCACGTGCCACTCAATGCTTTTCTTACATTTGGGGAAATCTCAACCCTGGTTTCCTTTGCCTGTATCCTTGTCATTTCATCATCCTCACTGGTTCAAGCAATCTGGATTGACGGGGACATCAAAGCCACATCTTTAACCAACAGATTAGGCAGTTGGAGTTGCCATAGATACCCTAAAAAAATATAACGTTTTGCTCCATGAAGTAATCCAACAATGTGTACGCCGCCATCTTGTCTATTTAAAAAGTCTTCTCTCATTGAGACAGGCGGGTCGACCCCAAAGTGCCTCATGTCATGATGACAGACACCTGTCTCGATCAATGAGAGAAGACTTTGAATAGACAAGATGGCGGCGTACACATTGTTGGATTACTTCATGGACCATAAAAAGAATTGTCTAAATTCAAACAGACCCCCTGCAACTGGACAAGGACATTTTCTGAGACTCCTGTTTCCACAAATCGAGGACGAAGACAGTATTGCCAAGGTTGGTCGGAAACGTTCTGTGCTACACCAAACAGTACCTAACCGGTAACTCCCAGTATATTAGATACCAACATATTTTTTGGGTTAAATCACATTATCTGGTGTTACAATCTGTAGCTAGAATTGAGATATGTCTAGTTAAATGACAAGGTAGGACCTGGACATTGGGTTCTGTGCGGTTCTAACGTCGAAACCAGATCCAGGTATTGATGAGCCAGAACGCCACGGTGGCGGAGTAGAGGATCACCTCTCGCTTGGAGCGCTCCTTGTTCTCCTCCTCCAGTAGTTGGAGACGTCGGTTCAGCTTCACAATCTGAACGAGCAAGTGAATTAACGAATGTAGTGAATCAGTTAGTTAAAAGGATGATTCATCAGAACAGCTGATTCAGTCCATTCAGTGAATTAACGAATGTAGTGAATCAGTTAGTTAAAAGGATGATTCATCAGAACAGCTGATTCAGTCCATTCAGTGAATTAAAAATAAATTCAGTTTGGTGGATTGAAAACTCCTTATGGGGACCATTTTGTTATTTCGTCATGGAGGGAGTGTCAGTTCCACACCAATTCAGGACATCCCCAAAATGTCATTTCCTTAACTGACATGGAATTGACTCAAATTCTGTGTCAGCCAATTTATCAATTTATACATTACATATGTATAAAGCAGTCTAATGCCAGTGGTGGCACTTTAAATGGGGAGGATGGGCTCATAGTAATGGCTGGAACAGAAAGAATGGAATGTGTTTGTACCTTTCCATTCACTATTATGAGCCATCCTCCCCTCAGCAGCCTCCTCTGAAACCCAGTATGTGTTAGGGACAGTCATTCATTTGATCAATATATAACTTGGAAGGTATTCAATCATTTAAGAAATATAATTGGATAGGAGGGCAACACAAGGTACAATGCTTTGACTACCTGTCGCCGTAGTGACGAGGCGTCCACTAAGCCTGAATCGTCAGGGGTCATGTCCATGTCGAGGGTCAAGTGACCAGCCCTACAGAAAACAAAAAGCAGAACACAACTATAATACTTTGAAAATATGACAGAACATAAATGGATTTACCGTATATGAAAATGTTACATTTTAATCTTTACTGGCTGCAACACTGCAAAAGCCAACATCTCCATACTGAAGCAAAATGCGTTTCCCCAACTGATGGACTGCATTTTCCTTTTGGCTTGGTTAGTAACATTGTAAATACTTGACTGAGAGCATTTTAATGGTCTTTCAACTTTGAAAAAACGGTCAAATCAGTTTTAGTGGTGCTAAACACGCCATCACCATTTCGAGGTCAGCCCAAAGGTGAGATGTCATGACTCGGTGAGTCAGCTTCATTATTGAGAGGGTAAGTACAGGCTTTGTGCCAATACAGCAGTATTCGAGCTAACAGAGGAGAACATGAGCTAACTATGCAGTCTAATGCCATTCCATTAGAACACACACACACACACACAGGTCAAGAGTCACCTTGATTCAGCGGAAAAAAGGACAAAGTCATCATGAGTTATGAACAAATATAAAAAGGGGCTATTGTAAACCAACTGGCTGTCTGATGTTATCCTAGAGAATGACTGAAGTCGCAAGATAAAATTGACCAAAGAGATGTAGCTACTCACTACAGCTTACTTAGAGATAATTCATATTTATCTCATCCTAGTTTAGAGTAAGCATGGGGCACACATTTCTCCGTCCTTCTCCTGAAGTGTGCGTACTTGCACACTTTCTCACATAGATTTAAAAATGGTGGAAACTCCCTCCAGTCAGTGTTTACACCAGTCCTATGCTTTTAAATCCATGACCGGCAGTGTGCAAGTGCACACTTGTGGAGAATCAGGATGCAGCATTGTGAGTGTGTGTGGCTGAGGAGATCAAGGGGTCACCTGCGGTGGTTGTCGACCTCCAGGACCTCCAGGACCTGCTGGTAGGCCCGGCGCGTGGTGCATTGGATGTAGGATAGGACCCCTCCAGCACTGTACTGTAGGTTCACCACGTCCTCAGGGGTACACAGTGGAGGACAGGCACGGAGAGAGGGGGCAACGGGAGACAGGGTTACACTGAGAGAGAGAGAGAGAGAGAGAGAGAGAGAGAGAGAGAGAGAGAGAGAGAGAGAGAGAGAGAGAGAGAGAGAGAGAATTGAAAGAATGTAGAGAAATGGACAAACAGAGGGGTTAGCACAGAGGAAGAGGCAAAGACACAGCAAGGAATTGAGAAAGAGATGCAGCGAGAAAGGCATTTCATAGTCTCTCGTGACTAATCTGGGCAACCCAGACCAAATCTGGCCTCCGGCCAACTACTCGATTTGGTTCTAGGGGAGAAGTTTTACTAGTGTGAGTGATGGAACCAGAGTGGATCCTCTTTGGTAGCACCCCAGTCTCGTGCAAGTCTATGGGCCAAATATCCTCTCCCCTTCCAAAATTCAAAAAACTCCCCCGCAAAATTATGATTAGTCCAAAACCAGCACACCGGAATAATTGTTTCACATTCTCCATCAAATCCCACAGTCTAAGGAAAGACGTAACATTTGAATGTTTAGTCCTCATGAGATTCTTCCTGTGACAGATGACATTTAAATGTTAAAGGGATACTTGGGGATGTTGGCAATGAAGACCGAGAGTCAGATGAACTCATGGATACCATTTTTATTTACATTTTAGTCATTTAGCAGACACTCTTATCCAGAGCGACTTACTGGAGCAATTAGGGTTAAGTGCCTTGCTCAAGGGCACATCGGCCAGATTTTTCACCTAGTCGACACAGGGATTCGAACCAGCGACCTTTTCAGCGGTTATTTTTACAAATCATAATCTCGCCGAAGTGGTGCTAAAAGCGGGGACAGGGATTCTAACCCTGAAAATACTCTTAATAAACACTGCTTACCTGCAAAATAGTCGCATTGAAAACATTGTCATATACCTCCATGTTGTTAGCATGCAGCATATACAAATACTATAAAAACAGGGGTACTTTCCAGAAAGGAAGGGGCTGGGGCTTTGACAGTGGGGGTGCGTGGACTTGTCTACTTCAGATTTGAAAGCCTTTTTTGCCCCCAGAACCAAATCAAGTAGCTGGCAAGCGCACACACAAGATTTGGTTCTGGGTGCTGAAATTAGGCATTTCATAAACTACGAGAAAGAAAGCGATGACTCTTCCAACACTTCCCTCACACCTGGGCTGGTGCTTACCTTACGTCAGTTCTGTTGGCCGGGCCTCTCTGGCGGATGCTGGTGGTATCGCTCACAGTGCGCTCCCGCCGCGACTGAGAGTGGACCTGTGTGTGGGGCACATCAGGGATGTATGATGTATTATTTATTATTATGATGGGATCGCTATATTTTCATTTTAGCCTAAGATTCTAAAGTGATCAGCCTATTTCTGCCTAATTAGAAACGTAGTAATGGATAACTAGGAAGTGATCTGTTACTACGGGGGGATCCTTAGAGTAAGATGCCCAAACCTACAGTATGGGTTGGTCTACTTACCCGCTGCTTAGTGTTAGCATCGTAGAAACAAAAACAATGAGTAACCGGACCCCGGTTAGAACGCTCCAAATAGCAAAGCCGAAAGCAGTATTTTTTTTGCTGAACATTTCTCATTTCCCGAGAACCACCTATGGCTCTGTGTAGTTCTAATGACATCACACCGTTGACTCAGACTCACCCCCTGAGTGGCGTGGGCCAGTGGTGTGGGAGCCTGGTCCGTCTCCAGGGAGTCCAGGGAATGTTCGTTGAGGGTGAGGATGCGTGGCGGTGCCTTCATGTCCAGTAAATCCACAGGAGGAGTGGACTGGATCAGGTCTAGGTCTCTGGGCCGGGAGTAACGGGAGTCCCCATCGTCCCCTGGAGACGGTGGAAGGAGAACAGGGTCATGTTCATTAGTCAACAAACGGAAGAAAACGGATTGAAACAGGAGGACTAGCTGGACTTGTCAGCACAATGACTCAACTGGCATTTGGACTACCCAACTGACCACCAGATGGCTCTGTCCAGGTTTCCCCACACACAACCAGATGTCTCTCTCCAGGTTTCCCAACAAAACCACCTTGACAACCAGATGGCTCTCTCCAGGTTTCCTCACAGACAACCAGATAGCTCTCTCCAGGTTTCCCCACAAAACCACCTTGACAACCAGATGGCTCTCTCCAGGTTTCCTCACAGACAACCAGAAGGCTCTCTCCAGGTTTCACAACAAAACCACCCTGCTGATAAACACTTCCATTGAGAGTGCACACACTGCTCACCTGCTATCACAATCCTCTCTGGTACATGCATCATGTGGGGGGCCAGGGGTTCCCAAACCCTTTCCTGCATTGGGGAACATCCTGCCCCCCCCCCCGCACCACATCTATTTCTATGCGCACAAGCACTATTCATGACACAAACTGTTCACACCCCTCTTGTTGGTGGAGAGAATTTTACAGGTTTAAGCTTATTTCCTGCAATTCTACACATGGGGTGCAGAGAATTTTTGCGATTTTAAACCTAATCTTCTTGCAATTCTATACATTTTGGCATGTCTAATGTGCATTCATGTGATAGGAGTGACTCAAACATTACAACACAATCTATGGGCAACAAAAAAAAACGAGAAAAAAACATTAGCTGACATGGGCTAGTTGATCTGGACATTTCTGACAAGTTATAAATATCTCTCTAAGGTCTGCAATGACTGACATGATGAGGAAAACTGATGATGCTCTACCCAATTTAGAAATTGCACCTTGTGCATTCTACTATTACAACTTTCAACAGTAAGTTGAAAGCCGGACTGAGTTCCTTTTAAGTAAAAAAAAATAAAAAATACTGTATATAAATCAAAATATTACTTTCTTGGGGGGGTACCTCTCCAGGTTTCCCTACAAAATCACTCTGACAACCAGATGGCTCTCTCCAGGTTTCCCCACAGACAACCAGATGGCTCTCTCCAGGTTTCCCCACAAAACCATCCTGACAACCAGAAGGCTCTCTCCAGGTTTCCCCACAGACAACCAGATGGCTCTCTCCAGGTTTCCCCACAAAACCATCCTGACAACCAGATGGCTCTCTCCAGGTTTCCCCACAAAACCATCCTGACAACCAGAAGGCTCTCTCCAGGTTTCACAACAAAACCACCCTGCTGATAAACACTTCCATTGAGAGTGCACACACTGCTCACCTGCTATCACAATCCTCTCTGGTACATGCATCATGTGTGGGGCCAGGGGCTGAGACAGCAGCCGATGTTGGTTTTCGGGGGCCACTTTCAGTGTGTTGGGGATGCGCATGCGCTGGCTGATGCCCTCGGTGTACTCCAGCTCATAGTGGATCCGATTCATCTCTGCCTCCTCCGAAGAGGAGGGGGGGGAAGGTCGCCCCGCTCATCCAGCCTTGTAATAACAACAACATTAAGCCTAAATAATCAAACATTTCAAATCGCCCATTAGTCAACGTTAGGTCAATGGATTTTAAGGGCTTGCCCTGAAAAGGAATGCAATTTGCCATTATATGCAATTTAACAAACTGTGTTGATAACAGGGCATTTGATACAACATAATGATTTCATGGTTTTATTGCATTCTACACATTGACATTCTTGTGCATTCCTTGAAGTTAATACCAACTCATAATCAAATCATGATGACTGCATTTATAAGTTAAATTATAATGTAGGCTACCATTTGATTTGGGCTAACTAACAGTGTTTTTTGTACTTATGGTTATTAATAGCCCGATACCTCTGCTTAATCCAAATATTTATACTGAACAAAAATATAAACACAACATGTAAAGGGTTGATCCCATGTTTCACGAGCTGAAATAAAAGATCCCAGACATTTTCCGTACGCACAAAAAGCTTATTTCGCTCTTGATTTTGTGCACAAATGTGTTTACAACCTGTTAGTGGGCATTTCTCCTTTGACAAGATAATCCATCCACCTGACAGGTGTGGCATATCAAGAAGATAATTAAACAGCACGATCACTACACAGGTGCACCTTGTGCTGGGGACAATAAAAAGGCCACTCTAAAATGTGCAGTTTTGTCACACAACACAATTCCACAGATGTCTCAAGTTGCATTTGGCATGCTGACTGTAGGAATGTCCACCAGAGCTGTTGCCAGAGAATGTAATGTTAATTTCTCTACCATAAGCTGCCTCCAATGTTGTTTTAAGAAAATTTCGCAGTACATCCAACCGGCCTCACAACCGCAGACCACGTGTAAGCACGCCAGCCCAGGACCTCCACATCCGGCTTCTTCACCTGCGGTATGGTCTGAGACCAGTCCACCCGGACAGCTGATGAAACTGTCAGTTTCTGCACAAACTGTCAGAAACCGTCTCAGGGAAGCTCATTTGCATGCTCCTCAACAGGGTCTTGACCTGACTGCAGTTCAGTAATTCAGTTCGTAACTGACTTCAGTGGGCAAATGTTCACCTTCGATGGCCACTGGCACGCTGGAGAAGTGTGCTCTTCATGGATGAATCCCAGTTTCAACTGTACCAGGCAGACTGCGTGTATGGCGTCATGTGGGAGAGCGGTATGCTGATATCAACGTTGTGAACAGAGTGCCCCATGGTGGCGGTGGGGTTATGGTATGGGCAGGCATAAGCTACGGACAACTAACACAATTGCATTTTATCGATGGCAATTTGAATGCACAGAGATACCGTGACGAGATCCTGAGGTCCATTGTCGTGCCATTCATCCGCCGCCATCACCTCATGTTTCAGCATGATAATGCACAGCCCCATGTCGCAAGGATCTGTACACAATCCCTGGAAGCTGAAAATGTCCCAGTACTTCCATGGCCTGCATACTCACCATACATGTCACCCATTGAGCATGTTTGGGATGCTCTGGATTTACGTGTATGACCGCGTGTTCCAGTTCCCACCAATATCCAGCAACTTCGCACAGCCATTGAAGAGTGGGACAACATTCCACAGGCCACAATCAACAGCCTGATCAACTCTATGTGAAGGATCTGTGTCGCGTTGCATGAGGCAAATGGTGGTCACACCAGATACTGACTGGTTTTCTGATCCACAGCCCTACCTTTTTTTTAAAGGTATCTGTGACCCACAGATGCATATCTGTATTCCCAGTCATGTGAAATCCATAGATTAGGGCCTAATTAATTTCTTTCAATTGACTGATTTCCTTATATGAACTGTAACTCAGTAAAATCTTTGAAACTGTTGCATGTTGTGTTTATATTTTTGATCAGTGTGGCTACGGAATTGTAAAGCAATATGTGATGGCTCCATATCTGATGTTATGGCTTAGCTAATGGAAAACTCTGCCATATTTTTCAACTAATCTGGTCTTGGCGATACTTTCTTCGTTCTCGATTTGGAAGAAAAGTATCTTATAAATGTCCAGTTGCAGGTGGTTTTTACAAAAAACAGAGAAAATTCAACAAGATATTAAATCCATGTTTTGTACCGCATGAGGAGGTTCCTCGCCATCTTAGCTGCCTGCACATCTAGCATTACCCAGCATCTTTGCAGGAACTCGGTTCTATATCGTGGAGCTCCGCCCCATAGGGGAGCTCTGCTCCTAGTGGTTTACCCTCTGCCCTAAGGCAGCAACAGCCTGAAGCAAAATTATGCACACACCTGCAGCCAATGGGAGCACAGGTGTCCCTATAAGAGGGGACGCTTCCCCTCAATCAGCCTCCCATTATCTTCAGCGACTGGACGACTAGACTGAAGAAGCCAAGAAGAGAAGAAGACTCAGGAAGAAATCGCTGGCTCATCGACGTCTTCTAAAATGAGCACGCCAGGAGATTTTCCACCCCCAAAAGCCCTTTTCAGGGCTCAGTGCCGATGCTCCTGAATGGCATCTGCCGACCCCCACGACCTTTTTTTCGTGTGTTTGGGGCCGCGTTTGGGGCCGCCTCCTGCGCCCTCCTTCCTATGAAGGTGAGGAAGCAGCGTTGGGCGTTCTTTAGGGAGGATATCCCCCTAGAGGATGTACTGTCTCTTCTCGCCTCTGCTTCAGAGGCGTCGACGGACAGTGCTGACTCAGGGGAGGACAAGGAGAGAGACGCAGAGATGGATGTTCCAATGGAACAATCCGACCCTCTGGCGCCAACCTTCAAGACCCCCTTCCCTATGGGGAGGGCGAGATCTGAAGGCTCCTTGTGCGATGACGACACGGGCTCTGTTACGTCAGCAGCCCTGTCCTTCACAGCGGCCTCTCTGCGTGCGGACTTTCCCGAACTCATTGAGAGAGCCGCCAATCGACTCGAGATAGCGCTGCCCCCTGCTCCCCCCCCTGTGGAGGTCGACATGATGGAGGGCGGCCCCTACTCTAGACCGAGGAAGGCAGCTGAGCCGATGGCTCCTGCTATGCCTTCCCTCTGAAAATATGTAGAGGGCTCGTGGGATACACCCCTGGCGGCGCGTTCGCCGGCCAAAGTGTACACCCCATTCACGAGAGTGGCTGGACGTGAGTGGGCTGCTAAGGGAATCCCTAGGCTCGAGAGCGCCATGGCGGCGTATCTAGTGCCGGGTTCGAGTCCCTGGGCGGCCTCCAAGAAAGCCACCTTGCCAGCACAAAAGGACAGACTCACAGCACAGCTGGCTGAGAAGTCCTTTACGCTGGGAGCCCAGGCTGTGTCAGCGGCTAACAACATTGCCCTCCTCGCGGCCTCCCTATCCCGTTTAACAACGGGTAGGTCTGAGTTGACCAGCGAGGAGATTGAAGAGGCGTCCAGGATTTCTGGCGCTATTCTTCATTTGACACAGGCGTCACCTCGGTGGTCATGGAACGTCACCTCTGGCTGTCAATGACAGCCATGAAGGAGACGGACAGAGCCTCGCTGCTAAACGCTCCCGTCTCTAGCGAGGGCCTCTTTGGGGTCGCCGTTAAGGAGGCGACGGAACGTTTTGGTAAGCTTGACGAAGAGAGAAAGCACCTGGCTAAACACCTGCCATTGGCAGGCAAGTTTAGCAGGGCCTCAACTAACCCGTCAACCTCTAACGCCCCCAGTAGAACTACAGGGAGGCGACGGGCCAGGCGACAGGCGCCTACCACCGACAGCAGCCCGCCCTCCAGCGACGACGGTGGTGGCGACGATTCCGCCGGCGAGAGAGGTCGTCACAAAACCGTCCTGGCAACACCAGAAGGTCAGCCAGAAACGACGGCGTCAATGACGGGACGAGGGGGAGAGGACGGATGACGGCTAGGCGCAACAGAGCCCACTGTTCCCCCCCCACCCTACTGTTCAGGGCATGGAGGGACATGTTTATTGTTGTTATGTGAATAAAGAGCTGGCTCTCACTGACATTGTCACAAAAGAGCCTTTCTTCCATGACACATTGCAGAGTACTTCACGTCCTATGAATTTCTCTCACCATCCTGAGTGTAGCTCAACCCACCGAGGGTGCGTAGTTGAACACACTCAGGAGAGGAAAGAGAAAAAGGTAGCAAGGCGTAGCCTTAGCTCACCTAATAAAGATATTTTACTACAGACTCCTAGGAGCTCTGTAGTAAAGGTCTCACATAGCAGGCAGCTGTCTCAGTCTAAATATGACATGAAGACGCAGCCGCTAGCTGGGAATGACGCCTGGCTTCAGGCTAACGCCTCAGCCAGCGCAGTTCAGACCCGTGCGACGTTCACGGAGGGCCGGAATACTAGAGTTACAGGTGTAACCAATGTATGGGCGCCCCCGGTTAATTCAGAACGTAACAATGCCCACTACTCTGAGTGCAGCTCACCACACCTAGAGTGTGCTGTTGAGCAGCCTCATGAGACCAGTAAAAAAGAGGTATTGTGGCGCCACCTTGTGGTACCAGTTAGAGACCACACTTTCCAGACTCTTGAGTACTGCAGTGGACGGATCTCATGACAAGCAGCAGTCTTAGTCAGACAATGACATGATGACGCAATTGCTATCCGGGGAGGGCGCTCTGTCTCAGGTTAATACCTCAGTCAGTGCAGCTCAAAACCGTGCTGCGTTCACGGAGGGCCGGAATACTAGAGTTACAGACGTAACTGACGTATCAAGGCCTCCGATTCTCTCAGAACGAGCTGATGTTTCCTCTCCCTTTCGAGGGGGGCCCGCCTTGGGCTATTCCACCAACCCAGTGCTGGGGAATAGCGGCGGCGAGGGCCATAGAGGAATACAGGTCCTTCCTACTGGATGCACCACAGCTTCGTGCGCGCCCGCTTTCTCTGCATTGCGGGCAGTGGCAACGAAGCTGTACCCTCTCACGCTGGCTAGAACAGACGTTGCAGAAGGGTTATGCCCTCCAATTCCATCGAACCCCACCCCGTTCAGGGGAGTGGTGGAGACGGTGATGAAAACGCCGGACAAAGTGGACCG